TGGGCCGCCCGCTTGGGGGGCTACAGCCTTCATACATGGGGCGCACGCAATAACCACTGCGCCCCCACAGTCAGTATATTAACATACAGTTAAAAAAAATGTTAGTTAATTGTGTCAGTCCAACTAAAACTTGACATGAAAACCTTTTTTAAAAAGTCAGAGAGAAATTGCGTTAAATAGAAATTTTCAAAGTCAGACTTACACACACAGATAATGCAGTCGGCGATTGATTTACACTTGCATGTGTTCACTCTAGTCAGACAAAGACTGGACTAAGCAGTCTGATCTGGAAGTTGAACTGTATAAATGCGTTTGGTAGCATAACAGAAGTCGCGTTGTCGTCTGCCGTCAGATATCACCATGGAGGCTAGCAGGCATCGTATTTGAACCAAAATTAAAGCGTAGAGAATGTACAAAGTGTACAGAGCTGAAAAGTTGTTCATGTTTTCACCATTTCATTAAATGCTCTTTCTCAGACTCAGGCATGCATGTTGGCTCGAAACGTCTTTTGTTTCTAAATAAATCCGACAGTGACTAGCTGAATGGGGTCATATCGCCACCTACTGTAGCGGAGTCTGACTTTTTCCATCAAGAAATCGAGGCACCCTCAGCGTACACTATATGTATACTATAGGACAAGGACAGTATTCCAACTAAATGACCTAATCAAGCTGTAACCGTAGCTCGACTTAACTGTGCATGTAAACGTACTGACAGTCTGTCCTCTGAACTGCTTCGATGCCCTTGAGCAAAGCGCTGAACAGAGAGAAAAGTGTTTGTTTGTGTGAGTTGTTTACATGGTTATGTAACCACACTCACACACACACACACACTCAGCAGAGGGGGTTCCTGTGTTCCTCAGCATATGTTAAATGGAGCTTCCCCATCTGTCTGTCTGCCAAAAATCAAGCTCGACTCTCTTAAAGGAACAGTTCACTCCAATAGATTCATATTTCAGACATTTATGCTGAGGTTCAGTAATCATTTAATATTATTTTGAGGGACTGCCAACTACTAAAAACTGCAGGATTTGTTTTTTCTTATACTGTAAAATAAATTGAAGAATCTGAAGCTCGTAGTTCTTTCTTTGTATTCTCTTTTAACTGAATCCAAGCAGCAACCTCTGGTGTTTAAAAATGAAGCCAAGAGTAACTGCAGCTCCGTAAGTGTCCACCAGAGGCTGGCTTCAAAAGCCGTTACATCTAGTGTTTTGACCTAAATTGGTTTGTCTGAACAGATGTTTGTCAGGATTCTAAATCTGTCATAAGTTTGATGGAGATTAATTTCCAACGCAGAGCCCACCATCATATGGCTTCAAAACACCTCTTCAGAAACCAACGGGTGACATCACTGAGACTACACATGTTTCCTGATTCAGGTGTAATATCCTTTGAAGGAGCCAGACTCTGTAGCCCGTGTAGACTGCTCAGACAAAATTGAAATGAGACGGCCTGGTCCACAGAGGATTTCCTGATTTCACTAGCTGTACGGCTCACCTTTTTGTCAGCTGAACCAGAACTACATAAAATAATCAACGTCACATATGTGAGGCGATGCCTGCAAGCTAGTTCAGGCAGGCAACTGGACTTGCACTTCTACCATTACCCACCTGGAAACACTCCGGTACCTGTTCTATAGAAGCTGCAAGTTGTCCAATCTCTCCATACCTGCTCTTTCTTTGGCAGCTCTGACCTTCACCAATGCTTTGCTCTTACCTACAGACCCACCACCAGCGCAGCATCCAACTGCAGAAGATATCTCCCAAGGGGGGAGAAGGGGAATGGTTTGTGGGCCCAGTGCCCGGGCAGGCCCATTAGAGTTAGGTAAAACATGGTCCACCTAAGCAATCATAACCATTTTTTCAACCTAAATAACCATTGCTTTATAACACGACAAAGAAACTTATATTATTCATTGTTGCCTGTTACAACATGTAAATCCCCCAACTTTTTTTCGCAAAACTCCAAAAGCTGATCAGAGCCAGGCAGGTGAGGCAAATGTTAGCCAAGAGGCTAGCACTAACCCTCCTGATCCAACGTGCATGAAATGATATTGAATGACATCTGTGGAGGTCCCACTTGGTCTTTCATTGGCCCAGTGATTCAAACAGGGGTTTTAAGAGTTTTAAGTTATCACTCCTCAAATCTCTGCATGAAAAAGAATCTGAAAGGATTGATGAGGTCGAACAATGTGCTTACACATTGCTCCAGTCGATATGCCTGAAGGAACCTGATGCAGCCAACATGTAACTTTATCTCCATTTTATAGATTAAAATGTTGACAAAATACCAACACATGAAAAGTTCCTCACAGGAGCTGAAAAAGAAGTTTTCAGGATAAGAGCATCCTCTTTAGTTCCTTTATAATCCTCTTCTTCTTCTCCTTGGTCCTGGGTGTATTCATTCTGACGGTGGCTCTCGCTGCTCATTAAGATCAAAAGCGACACCAGTGCCACACACGCTGCAGAATAAACAAAAGACACACTCACACATACACATAGCCTACTTACAGAGTACAGGCAGGACAGTCGCTGACGCAGCATAAAGGAATGGACATGTGATGTCAGTCGTTTCTTTATGGGCTTAGTCATTAAACACACACACACACACACACACACACACACACACACACACACACACACATACACACACACACGGACGGCAGTCAGGATTTGTAGACGTTGCTTCATCTTCTCTTCTTTTTTTGACTCCATCATCTCTCGGTCCTCCCCGGTACTTGGGAGTTTCATGAGAGACCTTTACACTGGTTGTGTGTGTGTGTGTGTGTGTGTGTGTGTGTGTGTGTGTGTGTGTGTGTGTGTGTGTGTGTGTGTGTGTGTGTGTGTGTGTGTTCTCCCTCACCGCCAAGTGTTGATGAGGTCCCGTGACAGTCGACAGGAAGAAATGAGTGTGTTCCCTGACCTCACTCTCCAGAGGGATATCAAACACAGACACACACACACACCGCCCTGAACGTTGACATTTTCCTGTAAAAAAAATACCATTTAAGCATTAAAAAAAAAAATTTAAGCTTTTTTCTTCTGTATTTGGTTTATTTCTTTAGATTTCACCTTTAAAAGTCAAATTTGACTTTTTTCATGTATTTTTTTATATTTTTGTACTCTGTATAACTTTACACTTTTGATGAAGGTTGATAAACGTTTGTCTTACTAAAGTGTATTAATGCATTTGAACCGGCCGCCAATTTGAGTCATCTTTCAAATCCTCTCTAAAAACACACTTTCATGTGCAGGAAATAAATGTTTATATAACCTTCAAACTTGAACAAAATGTGCATTCACTGAAAAAGTAAACAGACAAAACGATAATATATGCTAAACTTTACAGTCAACATTTAACTGGTTAACTGAGTTTCTCCTCTGGATGAATCAAGTCTTATCTTATCTTATCTTAGACATTGGAGATGTCCTCCTCTTAAGCATCAGACCTCTGATGCTTCCTCATGTACCAGATTTGACAAATTCAAATAGTATCTCGTAAATATAGACGAAATCTGAAGCTTTCTTCCTCATCAAAAAGGTGTGTTTTATTACAGCTTGTTTGAGTTGTACTTGCATTTCTCTCAAATAACCCATCCCTAATTTGTTTCCTTGTTTCTTAAACTGTTGTCCTGATGTTTTATGGAAAGATGTTGACATAAATTCTTCTGTTTGACAGTGTAGGCCGGATAACAACAAACAATCAAATCGATGGAGTTGAGGTGTGATGACAAGACTTTAGTCTGCAGGTTGAGCACAGACAGACAGCTCCTGAGAACATAAAGAAACACACCGACACCGGGTTTAAAAAATAAAAATAAAATAAAAATAAGAGGCGCTGATAGTCTAGCGTTCATGTTGTGCGCCCCATGTACCGAGGATAGTCCTCTTCATTGCAGCCGTGGGTTCAAATCTGACCTCGGCCCATTGCTGCGCATGTTATATTTCCACTCTCTCCTCCCAACATTTCTTAATTAAAGGCATAAAAGACCCCATAAAAAACTTTTTAAAAAAGAAGGAAGGAACAAAGGAAGGGAGGAAGGAGGAAGGGAGGAAGGAAGGAAGGAAGGAAGTAAGGGATGAGAGAAAGAGTTGAATGTCAAGCCTGCACTAATTGTTTCTATTTTAGAGAGCAGAGCTGCTTTCAGACTGATTTAAGGAGAGTCGGCGTAAAAGTGACCTAAAAACAAAGAAGAGAGCCGGCTGACAATCTCTGATAACACACACACACACACACACACACACACACACACACACACACACACACACACACACACACACACACGCACACACACGCACACACACACAGAGATAACATTTACATAAATTTGTTCATCACTTTTCCTAATCTTTATCATTATGATAATGTTTTGATGACCAGTTAAACACAAATCACTTAATAACGGTGCTTAAAAGACAGAAAAATAGAATCAGACAGAATAGAAGAGCAGAAAAGAGGTAAAATAAACAGGGAGTAAGGAGAAAGAAAAAAAAGGCTGGTTACTTTTTGTCTGTTAAATGTGAGGAGAAGAGGGAAATTAAACAACGAATAAAGGAGAGACAAGAAAACGTTAAAAGGAAAATGGATTAAAAACACAATGACTGAAAGGGATAAAGAAAAGACAAAGAGAATAGAACTGTCAAACACCTTATTTCTAGAAAATTCGGATTTATCTATCTGTGGAGTTATGCCGCCTCCTGCTGCACAACCAAGATACTGCAAGAAGTTTTCTTCGCTCCTTTCATTAGAGATTTGAGAGAGCCAGTCAAACTGAATTAGATAGTTCTTTAAAGTTCTCTTCAGCCACAAAAAAAGAAAGGACAGAGACTTTATTTTACTGTTACTGGCTTTTATTAAGTCTGTAAATTCATTTTCTGCACTTTTCTTTAGAAATATCACAGTTTGTTTTACACAAAGACAAAGCTTCCTTGACTCGTGTCAGGTTTCCAAGCTTCACAGCAGAGGGCAGAGGTTAGTGAAACAGACGACTGAAGACAAACGGACAGAAGATATACTTTATTGATCCTGCGAGGGCAAAATTCAATAATGTAGCATCTTAATAGATTAACTGTTCAGTATAAAGCTTATCCATGATTTTTATTCAGGCACATTTGGGTGAATTTAAACTTTGTTCAGGACTTTCTATAACCAATATTGAATATTCACCATACGTCCTTAAATAAGAACTGTCAGATGAGAAATCAAACAATATTGACACAAAGGTATACACAGGAGTGAAGTACAGTCGTTTTAAACTCTTGGCCGCACTACAACCACATCCTTAATCTCCTTATATTGTTCAGCTATCCTCAGCTTCATGCATTCTTAAAAAAAAATAACGGTTTAATATTTGAATACATGTATGGAAAAAAATTAGAAACACTCAACGCTGTTTAAGAGAAGGCCATAGAAGGTTTGTTTTACTGGTTAAGCAGCAGATTATATTGAACGTTGCAGAGCAGTAAATCAAACGCGTCTTTCTCAGACACTGTGTTAAGGAAGAAAAGAAAGACGCGCATGGTGAGTCACATGTCTGGAGGAAGCTTGTGCCCACGTTAACTAGCAGTAATGAAAAGCAGATCATGGGCTCCTCCAGCACAGATTGAAATTGACAGAGAAAACATGTTGACAGAGAAAACATGTTGACATAACGTTAGCAGATTGATTGTTTAAAAAAAAATACAAAACCACAAAAACATTTTTATACTGATGGACATTATGGTGCTGCTGTTTAATGTAGTGTTTGTTCATATGTATGGATTTTTTATATATATATATATATATGTGATTTCTTATGAAGTGTAATGCACGAAATCATTTTGACTTATCCTGGTGTTTTAGATATTACACTTCCTGTTATGTATTGTTTGTCTACCTCCACAGGGACAACAGATACAAATAAGATAATAGCTATCTCTGGTGCAATTACATTTATTAATGCACTGCCCCTGAAAAAAATAAACAATACTTTTTTCTTTTAAATATCAGTTGCTGACTCTGTAATGTAGCTCAAAATTAAATCTATGTGAAAATTCTAAGTTATATCTGGAGGTTCTGTTAGAAGTTATGAAATAATTTCTGAACATAACGGTAAACTTCTTAGTTGTCTGGATTACAAATGTGATTTCTGAGAGTCTGAGAACGGATCAAAAGATTGATGCAGTTGTGGCTGAAAAAATATGGAGTGTAATGGAAACTCTGGTGTTTAAAAAAGTACATTTTTAAATATTTGTTTTACTCGGTTAAAACCTTGGTTGTTTTGCAAAATGCAATCTCTCACTTTTCCTGTTTTCAGTCCCTGATTGGAACTTTGCAGCACATGCCAATAAAAAAAACAACATTCGAAGTATAAAGATTACATTTTCACAAGTTTTGTGCAGAATTCAAAAAACAATTCATATTCAGTGCCAAAAGGTCAGTGTTGATTTCCATTTCTGCAAACATGCAGTGAGCTGCAACAAGAGAATTTAATTCTATGTTCCTCCGTCAATTGACATCATTGAACATGCAGCTTCATGACGACCTTTGTCCCGTTGAAATCAAACTTTATCTCATGACAGCAGATGATTTACTCGCTGAGATCCCGTGAGAACAGCCTGATATCCAGCTTGAAACTTTCTTGTCTTACTGAAAAATGAAGCTCAGAGCGATATCTTGTGTTTCTCCTCTCATGGCTGCTCTTCAAGGCTTCAGTCTTCGCAACATCAAAACCTTCAAAATAAAATAAAATACCTCATTAACAACCGAAGAGCAGCACAACCTGCTGTAGAGGATGAAAGAGAAGTTAACTTACTGAAATGTTTGGGATGGATTTAGAAAGTTGGCGGATTTCCATTACTGCTCGTTGTCCTGCACACAAGTCTGAAAGTAGATTGAAATTTGAGTTTGTATCATTTCTACACTGCTTAAAGTTAACACTTATAGAATAACTAGAAGAGTAAATCTTAAAGAATCCATTGTTAAATTGTACTACTGAGGATTAATCTCTCAATTAAATGTTAAAAGATTTAAAAAAGACTCTAATGGCCGATTGAAAATTAATTTTAAAAGTGGAATTTTAAACCCAGAAATGCCAAACGTTAGCTAGGTTAGCATTAGGAATAGAAAGTGGAACAATCAAAATCACTGAGCATTTATAAAAAGTACCCTCAGCCAACATGACGTCACCTTTTGGTTGTGGATTACTTTTTTGAAGCTTTGAGTTTTGCAGTTTTGTTGTCGCCATGTTTTTTTTTGTGGCCAGAAAAGACAATGATTAGATTTAAACGCCCCTTGTGCTTTCAGCTACAACTGCATTGATTTAGTTGTTTATATTTAATGAATTGTTTCAGATTTATAGATTTCTTGCCTCCTCTATGACAGTAAATTGAATATTTTTGGGTATCGATCCAAACAAGACGAATATCATGTTGGGCCCTTGGAGACACTCAACCTAATTTTTCACTTTTTTCTGCCATGTCATAGACACAACAACACACTGATGGACCAAGAAATGATTGACAGATCATCTTCTTTTAAAGTAGTCCCTTCCAGTCCTGCCCTTCACATATTTACAAAAGTAATCTTACTTTGTGAGTGAAGGTTCCAGGTTGGAGTCGATCATCTCTTTGGATTGCCCCTGTGTCATCAGGAGGTAAACGGCTGTAAGTGGCATCTGTTTGTTTTCACTGAAAGAGAGATAAACATCTTTGTTAGAAGTGTTAAGATACTGTATGGGCTGTACATGAAACCAGTCCTCCACAGTAAATGCTTCAAAGAAAAGTAATGCAAAGGTTACCATGTGTGTTATGATAATTATTAAGCCTAAGGATCATCAGGTATTCTGTATCAATGGTGATAATTCATTACTTTGGTCTCACTTAGGATGTTGATGATGGCTGACGCGTAATAGGTTGAGCTGTAACAAGTTTCTCGAGCAGCTGGAGGCTGCAGACTGTGCGGTCTGCTCGTCTGCTGTGTTTCCATCATCACATTCATCACAGAGCCTCATTTTGAGTCTGACACTAACCAAAAACCTGAATGAGGTGAAAAACAATAAACAAAGGTAAAAGGTACATTACAACACCTTACAAAAACTACTTAACATGCCAATATGTATGTATGTATGTATGTATGTATGTATGTATGCATGCATGCATGCATGCATGTATGTATGTATGTATGCATGTATGTATGCATGTATGTATGTATGTATGTATGCATGTATGTATGTATGTATGTATGTATGTATGTATGTATGTATGCATGCATGCATGTATGTATGTATGTATGTATGCATGTATGTATGTATGTATGCATGTATGTATGTATGCATGTTATGTATGTATGCATGTATGCATGCATGTATGTATGTATGTATGCATGTATGTATGTATGTATGTATGTATGTATGCATGTATGTATGTATGTATGCATGTATGTATGTATGCATGTTATGTATGTATGCATGTATGCATGCATGTATGTATGTATGTATGCATGTTATGTATGTATGTATGCATGTATGTATGCATGTTATGTATGTATGTATGCATGTTATGTATGTATGCATGTTATGTATGTATGCATGTATGCAGGCATGTATGTATGTATGTATGCATGTTATGTATGTATGTATGCATGTTATGTACGTATGCATGCATGTATGTATGTATGTATGTATGTATGCAGGCATGTATGTATGCATGTTATGTATGTATGCATGTTATGTACGTATGCATGCATGTATGTATGCATGTATGTATGTATGCATGTTATGTATGTATGTATGCATGTATGTATGCATGTTATGTATGTATGTATGCATGTTATGTACGTATGCATGCATGTATGTATGTATGTATGTATGTATGTATGCAGGCATGTATGTATGCATGTATGTATGTATGCATGTTATGTACGTATGCATGCATGTATGTATGTATGTACGTATGCATGCATGTATGCATGTATGCAGGCATGTATGTATGCATGTATGTATGTATGTATGTATGCATGTTATGTATGTATGCATGTATGCAGGCATGTATGTATGTATGTATGCATGTTATGTATGTATGTATGCATGTATGTATGCATGTTATGTATGTATGTATGCATGTTATGTACGTATGCATGCATGTATGTATGTATGTATGTATGCATGTTATGCATGTATGTATGTATGTATGTATGTATGCATGTTATGTACGTATGTATGTATGTATGTATGTATGTATGTATGTATGCATGTATGTATGTATGTATGTATGCATGTATGTATGCAGGCATGTATGTATGCATGTATGTATGTATGCATGTTATGTACGTATGTATGTATGTATGTATGTATGTATGTATGCATGCATGTATGTATGTATGTATGTATGCATGTATGTATGTATGTATGCATGTATGTATGTATGTATGGATGCATGTTATGTACGTATGCATGCATGTATGTATGTATGTATGTATGCAGGCATGTATGTATGCATGTTATGTATGTATGCATGTTATGTATGTATGCATGTATGCAGGCATGTATGTATGTATGTATGCATGTTATGTATGTATGTATGCATGTATGTATGCATGTTATGTATGTATGTATGCATGTTATGTACGTATGCATGCATGTATGTATGTATGTATGTATGTATGTATGCAGGCATGTATGTATGCATGTTATGTATGTATGTATGCATGTATGTATGCATGTTATGTACGTATGCATGCATGTATGTATGTATGTATGTATGTATGTATGTATGCAGGCATGTATGTATGCATGTATGCATGTTATGTACGTATGCATGCATGTATGTATGTATGTACGTATGCATGCATGTATGCATGTATGCAGGCATGTATGTATGCATGTATGTATGTATGCATGTTATGTATGCATGCATGTATGCAGGCATGTATGTATGTATGTATGCATGTTATGTATGTATGTATGCATGTATGTATGCATGTTATGTATGTATGTATGCATGTTATGTACGTATGCATGCATGTATGTATGTATGTATGTATGCATGTTATGCATGTATGTATGTATGTATGTATGCATGTTATGTACGTATGTATGTATGTATGTATGTATGTATGCATGTATGTATGTATGTATGTATGTATGCATGTTATGTACGTATGTATGTATGTATGTATGTATGTATGTATGCATGTTATGTACGTATGTATGTATGTATGTATGTATGTATGTATGTATGCATGTTATGTACGTATGTATGTATGTATGTATGTATGTATGTATGCATGCATGTATGTATGCATGTATGCATGTATGTATGTATGCATGTATGCATGTATGTATGTATGTATGTATGTATGTATGTATGTATGCATGTTATGTACGTATGTATGTATGTATGTATACATGTATGTATGTACGTATGTATGTATGTATGTATGTATGTATGCATGCATGTATGTATGTATGTATGTATGTATGCATGTATGCATGTATGCATGTATGCATGTATGCAGGCATGTATGTATGTATGTGTGCATGTTATGTATGTATGTATGTATGCATGTATGCAGGCATGTATGTATGTATGTATGTGTGCATGTTATGTATGTATGCATGTATGCATGTATGTATGTATGCATGTATGCAGGCATGTATGTATGTATGTGTGCATGTTATGTATGTATGCATGTATGCATGTATGCAGGCATGTATGTATGTATGTATGCATGTTATGTATGTATGTATGTATGCATATATGTATGCATGTTATGTATGTATGCATGCATGTATGTATGTATGTATGTATGTATGTATGCATGCATGTATGTATGTATGTATGTATGTATGTATGTATGCATGCATGTATGTATGCATGAATGTATGTATGCATGCATGCATGCATGTATGTATGTATGTATGTATGTATGTATGTATGCATATATGTATGCATGTTATGTATGTATGCATGTATGCAGGCATGTATGTATGTATGTGTGCATGTTATGTATGTATGTATGTATGCATGTATGCATGCATGTATGTATGTATGTATGCATGCATGTATGTATGTATGTATGTATGTATGTATGTATGCATGCATGTATGTATGCATGAATGTATGTATGTATGCATGCATGCATGCATGTATGTATGTATGCATGCATGCATGTATGCATGTATGTATGCATGTATGTATGTGTGAGTGAGTGAATGTATGCATGCATGCATGCATACATACATACATACAATCTAAATATTTAGAGTATTAACAGCAGCTCAAACGATTTAAGAACATTTCATAATCAAAACGTTCACACGTGGTGTATGACCAGTTTTTATAGTTTTTAATAAGCAGGGAGAGTGACGTGCAGACAGAGGACCAATCAGCGCACATTGAGCAATTTGGACGCCATCATTCTCTTTACAGAGACTGCAGTCAGTCATGTAGTTCACATACTTGACTGGTAAACATGTAAACTGTAGAGTAATGATCAATTTAACTTTTTGTTACTTGTCCGTCCACTTACATGCGCAATGGCACATTCCCGGACTCTCGCCCAAATAACTCTCTCTCTCTGTCAGTGTGGTCCGCGGATCCACCTTTATCTTTAAATGCATGTTTTTGACAGTATGAGGAAGAGAACCTCTTGAAAAAAGGTCTGATCTAATGTTTAGACTTATAAGTAAACTTTAAGTGCAGTCTTTAAGACAACAGGTGAGCTGCGGAGCTGCGCAGCGTCTTTAGATGAAATGGATTTGTTGTTGTTTTGCAGGTTCAAAAAGAACATACAGCTAGAATTTCGATATCTAGGTTTACAAAAACTTATGCTGCTTTGTCTGACGAGGTAATCAAACGTTGAATCTTTGATTGTGTTTAAAAACTAAAAAAAAGGTAGTTGGTTACTTAATTTGAGGCAGTGTGCACTGACAAATAGATTTTTTGCCTGACGTGGTTTTCACTTTTAACTTTCAACTACATGTAGCCTATTCTGTCTTTTATCATTCTGGACCTTTAATTTCTTTTCCTTAAATAAGCTGGGACTAATTTCTCCAAGTTTCATTTCTTCATTCTTTTCCAACTTCCAATCCAAAGTATCCCACTCGTCCCTCTATGCACACTTCTGCAGGCTTTGAAAAGGTATTTAAGTTGGTTGACAGAACTTATTTATGCAGTCTAATGACATACAGAAAGCACACAAATAAGGTGTCTTTTCTGTATATCTGCAACATACCGTTGTGTTAATGTTGATCTAAACAATCTGATTATCAGCAGAAACAATAGCAGGAACATTATACTTAATAGCTGCAGCAGAAGAAAGCCTTCATTAGTTAATCTTTGTTGTAGATAGAAAAAAAGTATCATTACCTACCCCAAAATACAATCATCAAGAAACGCAGCATTTAGATGGATCCTTGTTTAAAAAAATAAGATATAAGATTAAAAAAAAGCGTCCAGCAACATTCTTGTTTGTTCCTGTTCTGGCTTGTACTCTGAACCTCAGCGTCTACTATCTAAAAATAAACTCAGTGGACATTTATTTCCTTCTCACCAGATGTCGTCATAGAAACATTCCACATTACAACACATTAACTACAATAGTGAGACACGCGCAAAGGAATGAAGGAACTTGTGACAAGGACACACACATTCATTTGAATAACCTTGTAGTTTATTGAATAAACTTTTCTTTTTTTAAAGATTTTAATTCTGGCCAGCAGCTCCTCTTAAAGTAAACACTTTTAAACATTCAATAACTCATTTTAGTAATAGTTAATGCTGCACATTACACTCTGCATTCAAAACATTTGACATTTTATAAGAATATCACCAATTTTTTTGATAATGGTGATTATTGATTAATAGAGAACTTACTTTTGGTTTTGAAAAAAGACTTACTCTGCAATATTGTAATGTAGGCTATGTACAGTATATGTTTGTCTCTATGTATGAATATGCATTCATACATATGTGTATGTATATAGGTAGATGTTTTTATGTACTTTTGTGTTTTCATATAAATCTGACACAACACAATGACACCTAAAAAAAATGTCAAAGCAGGGGTAGACCAGCAACTCCTCTGTTCTTACATATAACTGCAATTATTTTACATACATACATGCATGCAAGTATTTCACTGAAGAAGGAGGTCTGTCTTTTCAGGGATTAGAATCCCATATAATTGTGCAGGATCTGGAAATACATACATACTGCAACGAGCCGACTCGCTCATCTTGCTCATCTGACAGCTCGCCCCGCCTCTTTGTTTTCACTGGCCGGAGTCCGCCCCAGCTGATTCCGCGACGAATTTTGTTCAGGCAAGCCGTCAATCTTGAAGACCCTAAGAGAGCTCAAGAGCTCCCAGGAAAGTAGGTGGTTAGTGACTGAGATTTACAGATACATGCAGTAATATGATGTACTGTATATGCACAAAGAGAGAGAGAGAGAGAGAGAGAGAGAGAGAGAGAGAGAGAGAGAGAGAGGAGCTCAAGGTGCCAGTTCCCCCGGTAGTCTAAGGTCTAAGCCTATAGCAGCATAACTAGGAGCTGGTCTACACCAGCACCAGCCCTAACCCTAAGATTTATCAAAGAGGAAAGTTTTAAGTCTATTCTTAAAAATACAGACTGTGTCTGCCTCCTGGACACCGGCTGGAAGATGATTCCAGAGGAGAGGAGTCTGATAACTGAAGGCTTTACCTCCCATAGTACACTTAGAGACTGTAGGTACCACTAGTAGGCCTGCATTCTGGGACCGTAATGTTCTCGAGGGGCAGTACGGCACTAGTAGCTCCTTAAGATATGGTGCCTGGCCATTTAGAGCTTTGTAAGTGAGGAGAAGGATCTTGAATTATATTCTAGACTTTATAGGGAGCCAGTGCAGAGAAGCCAACACAGGAGTAATGGGGTCCCTTTTCCTAGTTCTAGTCAGTACATGAGCTGCAGCATTCTGGACTAGTTAAAGAGTCTTTAGAGAATTACCAGAGCACCCTGACAAAAGAGAATTACAATAATCCAACCTGGAGGTAACAAATGCACAAACTAGTTTTTCTGCATCATTTTGCGACAGGATATTTCTGATCTTGGATATATTACAAAGGTAAAAATAGGCTGTTCTTGAAATTTGCCTGATGTGAGAGCTAAAGGACATATCTTGATCAAATAGAACTCCTAGATTCCTAACAGTGGTGCTAGATGCCAGGCTGATGTCATTAAGGACAGTCACATCACTAGAAAAAGTCTCTCTAAGGTTTTTAGGGCCTAGCACAATAACTTCAATCTTGTCTGAGTTAAGTAGCAAAAAATTTCTGGTCATCCAGGTCCTAATGTCCTTAAGGCACGTTTCTAGCTGACATAACTGACTGGTGCCATTGGGCTTCATTGATACATAAAGCTGAGTATCATCTGCATAACAATGAAACTGTATGGAGTGTTTCCTCATAATATTTCCCAGAGGAAGCATATATAATGTAAAGAGAATTGGTCCAAGCACTGAACCTTGTGGTACTCCATGGCTAACTTTGGTGTGCATAGAGGACTTATCATTAACATGTACAAACTGAGATCGGTCTGATAAGTAGGATTCAAACCAACTTAAAGCAGTCCCTGTAATTCCAAGTAAATGTTCTAGTGTGTCTAATAGGATCTGATGGTCAATGGTGTCAAAAGGAGCACTAAGATCTAACAAGACGAGCACAGAGAGAAGTCCCCTGTCTGAAGCTAGAAGTAGATCGTTTGTAAATTTAACTAGTGCAGTCTCAGTGCTATGGTGGACTCTAAATCCTGACTGAAACTCCTCAAATAAACTGTTGTCATGGAGAAAGTCACACAGCTGATTAGCTACCACTTTCTCCAGGATCTTTGAGATAAAAGGAAGGTTGGATATAGGCCTATAGTTAACTAGAGTTCCTGAATCTAGAGTAGGTTTTTTGAGTAGAGGTTTGATTACCGCTACTCTAAATGACTGTGGTACATCATACATACATACATACATACATACATACATACATACATGCATATTTACATATATACAGAAACACATACACATACATACATACACACACACACACACAAGAATATCTCCTGAGCTCTGCTGAGGTGCCCTGTAGCTTTGGGTCGGGCACTCATTCATGTGAACTGGCATCTCTCCATTGGTGTATGTCTCTATGTATGTAAGTATTAATGTATGCATGTATGATTTAGGTATGTGTGACTGTATTACATACAGTAATTGGTATGTATGAAAATGTATTCTTTCTACAGCAGATATTAATTATACATTTAAACATAGAGTAACTCAAAATGTAATTGAGAAGGAAAAAAAACACACAAAGTACAGCAAATCATCAAAGTTTATTTTCTGCACATTTAAAAGCAAATGAAAGTCGAAACTTCAATCTGTGAATGACAGCCCCATCATCTTAGAAAAGAAAAGAAAAACCTAAACATCCGCTCAGTTTTCTGTGGATCTATGATCCGTATCAGGTGTGTTAAATCTGGACTGTGTTTTTCTGATAATGCAACTTGTCGGATTGTCTAATTCCAACATGAAACAACAGTTTGAATCCAAACTTTGAGGTCATTTCCTCACAGAACCACAAAGCTTTAAATGTAAAAGCTCTGCAGAGCAGGAACTTCAAACAGAGCCCACAGCCTGCAAAGCAAATCAGTGCTGTCCCCTAGTGGTAAAATAAAATAACAGTGCACAAAACCCCACCCTATTTAGGACCAAATCTGTCACTCAAATAAATTAGCTCAGTAATTTTGCTGTGATCCTCCATCAGCCAGTATTTACACCAGTGCTTCAGCCAGTTCAACATTGTTACAATTGAAAAAGAAAATAGAAAACAAAAACACTCAGATTCACTTTCAGGTAAATTGATCTTCTGATTTTGAAAATATGGTTACAGAGAGAATCAAGAAAAGTAGAAAACAGGCACATGTTGATGGTTTGATATTTAACCCCTGAAGGACAAGAGAGAAGAAGAAAAGACATGTCTTTAGTCTGAGTCTTAACCGTTTTATCTTCTGAGTGAAAATGTCAGGAAAAAAAGGCGGGAAACTATCTCATGAAATGACAAAATGAACTAAGAACAATTTATATAGAACAAGGAAAAAAGTCGTAGGATGAGAAAGTCCTTATTTTATGAGAAGAAAGTCAAAATATTAAAATAATGATGTTGTAATGTTAGGCCATGGTTAGGCTTTAAACTTTAGTATTTAAACATTAATTATCAAATAAAAGTCTTCTCAAGATGCTCCGCCACAATAACAAAACATACAGGCAGAGCATGGCCAAGCATAGCAAAATCAGAAACTACACTTACATTTGACTTTTTTTCCTTGCAACTATACAACTTTATTCTTCCTTTTTTCTTTAATGTGGCTTTTTCATACGAAACGGATTCATTAAAATGAATTTTGTAATTTCAGTCCCAAAAAAAGGAGAAAACGTTTTGACTTCTAGTATGCTGTATGCAGCTTCCTTCTGTTTGGGTTGCATGGATTCATTATTTCTTGTTGCTAAAATTAATATTTCAACAAGCGCTTGATTGAAACTTTGACATTTCTGATTTGGAAGGAGAAAAAATAACGTCGGAGAAAACCTGAGAACATTTCTTCAGCCTGTCTAAACATCTCTCCTCATGTTGTCATTGGAAGTGATTCAAGGAAATAAAATCGCCTGCTAGAACTGATTTTGCACCCGCTGCCACAGCCAAATTAAGAAACTTGGACAATTATGCGTTTCTATTTTAAGAAAATAGATGAGTTAATTTTTTTTAAAAAACATGACTAATAAATATAAATTGCCCAGACAGGCAAATGATGCAGAACAGAGCCTGTTAGAACATTTAGCTGCATATTTTCACAGCGAGAATAAGTCAGAAAAATGAATTTAGCTTGAATAAAATAAAAAAACTAACACTAAGGAATTGGTAAACTTATAGAAAAGAGAAATGTGTCTTTTTAGAACTGACACAACTGAACACAGAAGAGAAAACAATTTAGATCAGACTTTGAAAAAAAGGATAACCAGAATGTTTTTTCTCACTTGCCTTCAGGGCTTCCGTAGTTTGTAATTTTTAAATCTTGCGATTCTACAAGAAGTCTCATCTGAGTTGCTGAGGTTGTTGATGACACGGTGAATGGTTTCCTCTTAGTTTCTGTAACGTGTGAGTGTTGGGTTCATTATTTTACTAAGTCAGGCATATATATGGAAGTTTTCTATCAGACACTGTGCTCCACTCGTCTTCCTAACTTCCTTTATGCAGATCTGATTAGAAAGCAAAAGAATCATGTTCTCCACCTGCTGATGTGATATTCCTGACTTTTGGTCATTCTGCATCATTTCAGCAGACTCTGAAGATCCTTTGTAGTAAACTTATTATTGTCATCTTTAATTCTGCCATTCTTCATAAGAGAACAGTTAGAAATGTCTATCATGGTGTTTAAGTCTCATTTAGGTCTTTTCATTTGTTGGTGTTGTTACTCCAACAGTCCAAAAAGGCGACTTTTTTCTGAAAACTGACAACTTCCTGCTTTGCGTCTCATCCCAAAATGTGAACTTCAAACATGAAATAATCATGAATTCTCACTCTGTATTTCATAAACCAAACAAGGCAATGTTCACCTGTCTTATGATAGTTCAGCTGCAGACTGCACTGGATTTGAACCAGTTAAATGCCAAATTCATCCAGCAATATATGTGCCACATTTAAAGGCAACACCCAAATCAAAACTATGTAGCAACGAAGACATTTATAGGAACCGTTTATACACAATAACGGCACACACAAGTCCACAGGGATGCTACTGAGTGCGCTCTTGCAAGCTCCTACATTTTATTTTGTTTCTTAATTTTGACTCCTTATTCTGTCGCATATTAAAACCTTAGTTTGAAAGTAACACTTTGAAAACTACTGTCAGGCCGTCTGCAGGGTTCATTCAGACACAGAGAGCTCAAAGCGTTCCACTCTGCTACATTTAACAGGACGGCGGCATTCTTTAGTGACCTAGCGTCAGGAGAGTGTGAATCAGTGATACCCGACACCAGGATCAGAATATTCTCAGGATCAGTGCAGTGAAAGGGAGCCGAAGAAAAAAAAACAACAGCAGCTAGAAACACATCTGACACAATCTGTGAACTTGAAACTACAAAAACAAAATGCACAATTGAAAACAAAAGACTGCATGTTACCGTTTTAACACTCCAGGGTAGGACTGTAAATAATGATTACAGTTATTATTTGTTGGTAAATGTAGAAAAAGTGACAAATGTTCATCAAAAGTCAAAAAAGACAAGATTTTCAGTTTATCATCATAACAAATGAATATTGATGCTAAACTGATTGATGAACCACTATTTGTTTCAGCCCTACACCAGAGTGGGAGGTAATCAACGAAGAAACAATCAAAACTGTCCCACGACGATCAAATCAGCAGTTCTCTTACGAAGGCAAACACATCATCCAAAAGAAACGCAACAACCTGTATAGAAAACATCCTCACCTGCCTTTAAAACCCACACACCTGTTCCAAGACCTTCCTTTCACCTCTCTTTAGAAAACATTAAACAAACCTGCCTGTGTGTGTGTGTGTGTGTGTGTGTGTGTGTGTGTGTGTGTGTGTGTGTGTGTGTGTGTGTGTGTGTGTGTGTGTGTGTGTGTGTGTGTGTGTGTGTGTGTGTGTGTGTGGAACAGTTTTTAAGCTGAAAGTAGAGCCAGTCATAGCTGTGCTTGGCACTGGTTAAAGTTCCTCAGTAAAGAAGGCAGAGTTGCGCTTGGCGTGGCGCTCACAGCCCTCCCCTTGTCTCCTCCTCCTCTTCCTCAATATGTAGACGGGTGAAGATCTGTCGCCGTGGCGTCAGGGACCCGTCACTCGTCTGAGCCGGCCGAGCGCTTCTGGCTTCTTTTGCGAGGAGATCTTTTCGGAGACGCTTTGTCTGGAAAAGAAGGAGAAACATTGATCATGACTGATGTAACACAGCGGAACATTCCTCACCAAATACAGACACATCTCAGTTCTCCCCCTATAATGGTTTTATTTTAGTATTTTAAACTGGGCCCCATTTAAATGTAATTTGAGTCTATATGACTTAAAGATACAAACTATTTTGAAATCACTTCAACTGATGAGAAACCAGCCGTAGAAGCCAAACAGTTATCTCTGAGGGAAAATAAACATTTCTCCTAAAACTGACAAGACTGGTGTTCTGGGTTTCTGACAATATTAACCCATTAATGGGTATTTACTACCGGTACAGTTATTGTGGTTAGGGAAAGTCTCACAGAGGACACTGAATCAAATTTAATTGGTTCTGAATCCAGTGACAGATCATTTGATTAAACTCCATATAGTTTTAAAATACAGCCATTTCATAACATACTCTTTTTAGTTGATGGCTTCTTGATTTTATATACAAACAACGTGTGGAAATGTGAGTTCCTGTAATCACATGTTGAAAAAAAAAAACTATTCTACACTGAAAGGCCAGAGAGGCTCAAGTAAGAATTAATCAGATAAACATAGCTCAATAACTAACAGAGCTTACACACAAACACACACACACACACACGGTAAAGCAGACCTCACCTCTGCGACTCTGCACTGAAGACACAGGAAAACATGACAGCAAGGAAGGCAGAGAGGGAAGAGAAGAAAAGAGAGTAATCGTCATGCACAGTAAAGTTAAAGTGTAATCAGGAGCAGGTGAAGCAGGAAGAGCTCAGAGACAAACACATCAGCTGATTCTGTGAGCAAACCAACACCAAGAGAAGAGCTCGAAGTGTCAGGGTTTAGTCTAAACTCTAACATCCAGCTCTTGCTTTGTACAGGAGGGACAAGCTTTTCTTTTGTTTTTTGCATATGATGTGTGCATGTGGCCCTGCAGCACGCCAGGTGGCTACTTTTATGTTGTTTACTGCAAACAGAAACATCCAGGTTTAATCGTTTTCCATGACTAATTACAGTAATACAAATAAAATGTGTTGCTCCTCCTGTTCTCTATTATGTATGGACGGAGAATAGACAATATATAGAGAATCGTTGCATCCCTTATAGACATTATATTTTAGTTGTTAATAATGTCTTCTGTTTTTAGAAAAATCATAATATACATCCCTGAAATAAAATATCACAACATCATTTTTTTCCAATATCACTCAGCCCTCATATTAAACATACAAACTGTATATTCTTAATTATAATGAATTTAAGGATAGTTTCAGTTTGAATTGACTATTATTCAAATATAGAATAGAATATAGAAAGAATTTATTCTTTCAGGTTAGTTTTAACCCTATGAACGGTGAGTAGCTTTAAAAACATGGCAGACAGGTGTAGAATCTGGTCAGTGAAAAATAAAGGTGCAGAAATTTAGAAGCTGACCAGATAAGGTGAGGTGTGTGCAGAGGAGTGTGTGTTCAGGTTGGGGTGTCATACGTACTGATCTGGTTGAGTGTTTCCTGTGGGATCCAGCTCAGGTCGACATCGTTGTGGCTCGAAGTTCCCATTTCCACCTTTGGAGCAGGACGCCTCCTCTGCACACAAACACACAGATAACCGGAGTTAATGCCGTCTGACATCATCTTCATAGTTTTAACAAAGTCGTCAATCCCATTTCTTTAACTATGTTTTTATACTGCGGTCCTTTTTTATAATATCTGTACCTTCCTCGACTCCATCAGCTGGTGAAGGCCGACAACGACCAACAGCCCGAGGCCTGACAGGAAGACGTACATGAAGATCCTGAGAGAGAAGGCGCAGAGAATCATAAACAGATGAAACAATATGAGAAGGGATTGAGCGGAAATTATAGAAGTCAGACAGATAATCAAAATAAGCAGAAAAAAAAACTTAAAAAGCAAAGTGATGCAAACACTTACGTCTCTCCATCTAGTCCATCTTCTCTCTCAGTGATGGTAACCGTCTGGTTGAAAACTGCATCCTGGAAAATATTTCCCTACATACAGAAAATAAATAAATAAATAAATATATAAAGGGGGTAAAAAGGGTTGAATAAGAGAAGGAGAGGAGGATAGGATGAGAAGTATAAAGGGAGTAACAGCAGAGGCAGGAAGGGAAAAGAGGGCAGAGGGAAAAGAAAAAAGCAGACAGAAGACAAGAGATAAGAAAGTGGTGATCAAAGAAAATAATATTAGAGATAAATGTCACTTTCTCTTTTGTAATCTTTGGTGAACCTTGCACTGTTTATCTTTCTTTTACAACCGTATCTCATCAAGGAGCTGTGAGAAAACCGTCGGAGTAAAATGATGAAACACAGAAACGGCTAATGCTTTAGAGGGATAGTTGGTTATTTCTGAAGGGGGGGGGGTGTATGAGGCACTTGTCAGTAGTAAATATGTTAGCGACAGGAAATGTTGGTCAGAGTCTGTCTACTGAGAAAACAACAGGAATGCAAGGCATGGAGGGTAACAATAGGCAAGGCATCTTATTTATATAGCACATTTCAACAACAAGGAAATTCAAAGTGCTTAAAAACGTCAGAGTCAATGTAACTAAATATATCTCTTAAAAAATTACAGCGCTTTACTTCTCCACTGGCAAGCTTCTTTGTTTAGCACTACTTCACCACATAGGTGTTCTTCCACCTGCAGCGCGCTGATCAGCTGTTCCGGTCTATAGTCAACGACTCAACTTGAACTTTTTTACCTACAGAAATCCACTTCATTGTTTTGGAATAACTTTCAGTATTTTTTCACATCACAGTATTTAACACAGAAAGAAAATACATTGTGATGTCACTTTTTACAACATCTTTCAGCCTAAAGTCCCCTCCCCCTTCTTCTTACACTGCCGTCCTTGTAGTTGAGGTTGATGACGAGTCCGAACGGCCGTCCTCCCATCGGCTCTGCGGGGATGAAGGAGTACTCGAAGGTGGCCTGTCTGCCGGAGGGAACCTCGATGCCGAGCTGGAGAGCAGTGAAGTTCTGGATGTAGAACTGATAATCCTGACAGGGGCGGGGAAAAAACGAGTTAGAAAACTCCTTGCAGAGACATTTCCCTGGTTATTCCAATTATTTCTACTCCAGGCCACTGAGAGCTCAAAGGTTATTTTGTGTTTCTGTACCTGTGGGTAACGGAAAGAGGCGTCCAGAGACTCCACGACAAAGTTCTCTGATCCTTTGTTGGTGAAGCCGAGCAGGAACTTTACGATGTTGTTAGCAGGGAAGTCTGGAGGGAAGCAAGAGCATGAAGCAAACAGAAGAGAGAAAAAGAAAGAAGTGAGAAAATAAATATATGGAGGAGCTGAAATTATTCAAATGAATCAATAAAATAAAAACTAGAGAATGAAGGAAACTCGAATAAACAAGTATTCCCGAATATAATATAATCAGTCGTTTGTTCATTGTTTATCTTTGTATGTTTCTACACTAGATGAATTACGAATGCATCTAAATAGATCTATTTTCACTGTATATTAATTATTCTAATACATCAGTTATTATTTCTCTTACTAAGAGACAAACTGTCAATCAATGATTCTCCTGCCTTGGCTGAAAAAAAAGACTTAAACTAAGTTAAAAAGAAACACATAAAACAGACATATTTAGATCTATCTATCTATATATATATATATATATATATATATATATATGACAAATAAAATAAAAGACCAGTGAAAGTATATAAATATAGATTTTAAAAATATGTAAATAAAATGAACAGTTCAATAGATTAAGATGACCTATAACTACTCTTGTAGGTATTTCTTAGTTGGATTTATTCTTTTATATATTCTTATGTATCATTTACTTTTATTTATTAATTCTTTACAGATGTATTCTCTTTAATGACACTCCTATGACTCCATACAGCAATGACTTCCTCTTGCACACCACACAGGATTTATAAATATTCTGCTTTTTAAAGGTTTCACTTTTTAATCCAGTTCTGAGAATCTTTAGAGAAAGTTACCGTCTCCTTTGACGAACAGGATGGTGGTGTCAGCGTTGGGGGAAGCTTTCACCTCTCCGACCAGCGCCTCCTCCTCTTCATCTTCTTTTTCCTCCGTCTACAGGAACAAAAACGTATATAAAAGTTTACATGAGTTTCATATGAGAGCTGTGAACAAGACTCCTCTGGTTTTTAATCATTTTCACAGCTGTTCATTTTTACTTTAAATTGATTCTTAAGTCCTAAAAAAAGAACCTTGATACTATAATGAGAAGATTTTTTTTTCTCTCTGACTCTCACCAGTTCTGCATTTTCGTCGTCTTCCACTTCTGCCTCGTCGTCTTCGTCCTCCGCTGCCACATCATCCACAGCATCTTCATCCACAGCCTCAGCCTCCTCGTCCTCAGTCAGGTCCTGGGCGCTGACCATCGGCCCTGATGGATGAACAATTTGGAAATAGTCACTTAAAAATACCTTTTAAAAATGTGTTTGAATAATTGTTCTTAAGAGGTATATTTTCTTTGTATCTCCATGACGACAGTAAAATAGTTTCATATTAAATAACGTTGCCAATGATACCAGTTAGCTTGAAGCTAAGCTAAGCCCAGCTAACAAGGTTATCCTAGCCACTGTAACCAGTCACAATAATCGATAGCAGAAAGAGTGGGATTCCACTTGTGCACATCACAGAAACCTTGGTCTTCAGGAAAGACTTCTAGGGGTTCATTTGTTGATATCAACACGACACTAACCGCATTTACAGGCGTATTTTTGAATGATATAGACGTTGGGCTGAATATTGATCACACTTCATAAAGCTTCACTGTACGATCTCTTAAACACAATCCTGAATGGGATTCATTTCTGTCACAATGGTCATGCAGGGAAGATCTGATCTTTTTTGTGTGGATGCTGGTTATAAAGACACAGCAAAACAAAGAGAGCACATTGGCTGCAAGCAGCTGGAGAGAAAATATTGAAACCAAAGCACATCAGTCGCTCCCTGCTAAGTGCTAAGGCTAGCTCTTTAACTCAGTAGAATGCCAAATAGAGCAACAAGAAATTCAGCCAGTCTCACAGATGACTGGAGTGGATCCTGAAGCAAACTAATTCATAAATATATTTTGAATCCATGGATCAATGAATCCAGAATCGTTTATGATCAAAAATCAATTCTGAATCGAATCGTGACCCCAAGAATCGAAATCGAATCGTGAGACACCCAAACATCGAGCGGTCTTTAAATATCTAAATGCACTTCAGCTAATCCACTTAAAGATATGTTTAATTTACTTTTTAATACAGCCTCTTTACTCTGCAGAAGCACTTCATGAATGTTTAAAGGATATCTTAACATGTTCTTAGTAATATATATTCTAGTTTCCTCATATATATGAATTTGTCTTTCTTCCTCTTCTTACTGTCACTTATTCGTTCTTGTGCAAGTGCAGCTGGTGGCTGATCACTCTGCTAATACTTGCTTCATCTACATCAGGGAGGGGCAACTTTGGTCACAGCAAGGGCCACATTCATTTAATTCTCACTGCCAGAGGGCCACATTGTAGTATACAAAAACCAATCAATTATGTCTCAACTTTATCTCAACATATACCAGTGATCAAAAATTATTATGGACATATTTCTGTTTTTTATGATTTCATGGCAGATTTTGTCACGTTTTTCTTCATGTTTCCAATTAATTGATATGTCAAAATTGACCTGAGGGCCACGTTGAGGGTTGATGGGGGGCCGCATGTGGCCCCCGGGCCGCCAGTTGCCCACCCCTGACCTACATGTCTCAAAATTAGAGCCCTGAAATACTAAATCATGCCAGTACAAAAATGCTTATTAACGCAATATTGGCTAAAGAGCTCCTAAACATTTCTTCTGTTTTTAATTATCTATTTGGAACATTTAAATATAACAAATAAAATACACAGACAACGCAAATACTCAATGAGAGCAGCCTTTCTGAAGTTTTTAAAATGAAATAAAATAGAATACAGTTTACTACCCAGCAACAACAAATACAAAAACATATATATAACCAGCATCAAATATAAGAAAACTGCAGCTCCAACATGAGTCCTTGTGTCCCTAGAATGCAACCCAATACTTCCTAAATCACCCTCCTCTAGCAGTGTCTTTAAATCTATTTCTTTAAGATAAACATGATCCCATAAAAAGGTCAAAGATTGCTCACAGGTCAAACAGCACAGAGGATTAAAATGTCAGACAGAATTGAAGTTTTCAGATCTGCTTCACTGCACATTTCAGTCACACACACTTCATCCTCCACAAATGCTGATTATCACAATCAAACAATTATTATCACTGTTTTCTACTGCAAAACAAAAGGTTTAAATTAAAGTTAATACTCAGTGGTTTAAAAACGTATTTTAATGTAGATATATGTCATTTAAAGATGTAAAAACGGAACAATTGAGTAAGACTGCTGCACTACAACAGTCACCTGGTGCAGCAATGAAAACTGCACTTTATGTACTTTATTAAAGTATATTTACACATAACGAGCTGATGTGAAGTTAGTGGAGGATCACGTTTAATAATATTGAGTTTCATTTGATAAATGTGTCCGGGAAACTGTTAAAAGGGGTTAGTAACCATGTTAACATAGATGTTTAGCCTCTGTGCTAACAGTTAGCAGACAGGAAGGACACGTCAGTCTAATCAGTCACATGAACTACAAACATGCAACAAACTCTGGAGACAACATGTAGACAGAAACATTCATATCAACAAACTCTAAAGGCCAATACATTCGGCATTTTCTTAAACAGTGAGGGCTTTAAAGTGAACATTTACTTTGAGATAGCACATGTCCAGCAGGCCTTCCTCTTATTACAGCAGCTAGTTAGCTGAGCAGCTAACGATAGCATGTCAGGGCTTAAAAGCTAATCACACACTGTCACTGTTACCGAAAGCCACGGCGAGCAGATTAAAACATAAACATACCTTTCATGAGAATAGTAGCCGGGAATGCTAGCAGCACCAGCAGCATCAGTTTGGGTAGAAATTTCAGCATTTTTAGGTCGAAATCAGTGCGTTTTCATTCAGTGTCTGTCAGACAGCCGAGCTGTGAGTGCTGCCGTGCTGCTTCCGTTACGATCACCACGACGCATGCGCAAAAGGCACCGACCGGTAGGTGTACTGGCGAATTCTGACTAACAGCAAATTGTGTCTCCCCTAGCGTTGTCCTTAGGTCATAGGATTTAACAAAATGTATTACAGTTCAATTAAGTTTGAGGACTTTCATTTTTATTTGGCAATTTATGTTTACCATTTAGTGTTTTTTCGTTGAAAACACGGAACAGTTTGTTTTTAACGAATGGGACTTTAGACTGGACTTTAGACTGGACAGTGCGGGTACACTACAAATAACAGCAACATTTAACCCTAAAGGTTAACATTAACCCCAATATTTACAGTCTATGACTTTCACACATCTCTGGAGAATACATTCTCCTCTTTGGACAACAATAATCACAACACTATCTGACTATCATTTATGAACTTTCTACAAACATGACCGAATATCTCCTGATATCATTATAATTGTCTTCTATTTTTATTTTTATTTTTTCCTGACTGCCTTCCTCCACATCAATACAATCAATAAATTACCCTACTGATCTATTACATATACACAAACATCCTTTTTATTTTTCCCTCATTCTATTAGTTAATATATTTATTTTCCCATTTAAAAACCGTTACATAAATACACAGAATGTATTTTCTCTTCCTTTACTGTACTATTATATCTGTTAATAATGTTAGTATAAATAATATAGACCTATTTCATAATATTATTCCACCTATTTATTTCATTTATTTTTATTGTTATTATTTTTAATTTATTTTGTGTATTTTTTTTTTTTTCCTGTTATCATCTATTCTCTAAAAATACTCTGAATTTAAGTCGACAGCCTTCTCAACATTAACAAACACAATCATCTCTCTACAACTATTGGTACACTTTCTATGATTTATTTTATAGTTGTTTTTTTTATTACTACTACTCGTATACTGTTTCTGTTGCCACCATTCTCATTACTACTTATATAACAATTATGTTCTCACAAACATTATTTTTACAGGGCTGTGCAAATTACATTTTTGAATTTATGGATGATGTGGCTGAGTTAGATCGTCTCTCGACCGGAGGGTCGGTGGTCCGGTCCCTGGCTCCTGCGGCCGCATGTCTGGTGTGTCATGGGTCAAGAAGACACTGGACCCGGTCTTGCTCCCGCTGCTACGTGGGGAAAATGTGGCTTAAGGGGGGAAGTTGACCGTCTCACAACCGGAGGGTCTAGGGCTCGGTCTCCGGCTCCTGTTGCCACTTTTCTATGTGTGTACTTATCTACTGGTCTCACCAATAAGATTGCGGCACATCCCCCTGTCTCCATTGACATCATAACAACGCAAATATTTTTGTTGATGGTGGCAATAATGACGATGAATTCTGGATGAATATTGTTATCATCACTTATTTATTCATCTATTTTTATTTGTTTTGTTTTGTTTTTTTGTTTTGTAGTGACTTGTATTTGTTTTCCTCATTTTTCTCACTCTGACTTTCCACACACACACACACGTTGTTGTCTTTTTAATATATTTATTTTGTGTTTGATATGGACCTATGTTTCGAAAATAAAAAAAATAAGTATAGTGGTACATGGTTGACTTCACACAACATGTCTGTGAAATACATTAAAGCTGCTGCTGGGGGATAGGTGAACGGTGCACTGCGAAACCATGGCCTTTAAAAAAAAAGAACTTTTTTTTCTCAAAGATTCTCGATGAGGGTTACATTTACATTTATTTGTATTTTTGTAGGAAAAAAATGAATCACATCTTTCACATAACCAAATCAGCGAAAGTGATAATAGGTGCTGCTTTGTCCACAGGGGGCACCAAAATCAATGCACACAGGAGCTTTAATATATTTGTGTAAATTTAAAGCCCCGTTTCCACCAAGCGGACAAGTTTGGTACAGTAAACCATGATCTTGCTTGTGTTTCCACAGCCAACCATACAGTCTCAATGGTAAGTGAGACCGTTTAACCAATCAACAGACTGCAGTGTGTCTAGCTCCACCCTTTAGGGTTGGATCGGTACACCCCTACAGAAGGTTAGCAGAAAAGTAAGAAGTATGGATCCGTTATTTTAGTACCATTCCCAACTTTGACAGTGAAAACGCCAATATATGGTGTGGTACCAAACTGAACTGAACTGGACCGCTTTGTGGAAACTGTCTTTAAGATAGATAGAAACAGAACAACAAGAATGTAAACATATACTGAGTGAGTATAAATGAATAAGTGCATTCATTGTGATTAACAGTATCAAAGAGTCTGAATAAGAAAAACACATTTATTTTGACAAATTTCTGGTTTTATTTCTACCACATGTAGGTAACACACTGCAATTATATGGCAAATAAAACATAACTGAGATTACGTGATATAGAATCTCAAATAATATTCAAATAAACTTAGTAAAATCTGTGGTGACAGAATAAACTGAAAACTTTACAAATTGTGCCATTAGAAGTCAAAACTCATCAATGCAGGAAAATAAACAGGTTTATAAAATGAGACAAAGTGCCTCAGTTAAAACATGAACACTCAGTAAATTATATCTTTGTGTTTAATATGAATGAAATCAAACATATAAAATACTCTGTGTTAGAATGATGACTGATGGCTTAGTGAAGTAAATTTGTTATTTAATACATGACCGGGATGCAGATCACACAGCAAGACAACAAACCCTAACAAACACTAGATACTGGATACATACAGGTAGAAGAGTAAAATATATATTTCCAAAACATAGACAGGAGCCTGTGTATCAAAATACTCTGCAACAAACACAAATCTCAAGCTCCCATTCTCACACAGCCTGTTCAGATTTCAGTCCACAAAAAAACTGATTGTGTGTGTACAGCACGCAACGTGAACACTTTTATTTAGAGTTGAAAATAAAAACAGAAAGACACAGTGTGTTAGTTCAGTCCTTTACAAACACGGAGCTTAGTGTTGCTGTGCCGAGTGATCTCTCTGTAGATTAAATCAAAAGTCAAAAACTAAACTACACTAACCTGAACATGAAGAAAAGAACTCAAGATAAATTATTATAAACCGTGTTCCTGTAATATTGTTGTTAACTTCTTTAACTCCTCCACTCATCACTCTGACCTCTCTCTGTCCTTTGATTGCATCAGAATTGTTCAGTTTTCTTTTCTTTTTAAATCTCAAATTCACGCCTCCTTTACAACTATTTTCAAACCCATCTATTAAAGACACATATCCTAATATGTTTCCTTCCTTATTTTCTTCCTCAGCTCCTCTCCCCTTCTCACCCGTCCCTAAAGAATAAGTCTGGTGTTAAACAATATGTCACTCACTGTCAAAAAAATATTAGTCTTTGAGCTCCGAGCCTGTGTGTCCTGCTGCAGATCTCAATCTTTTTTTAAATCATACCCTTTTAGCTTGATCTAAAAAAAAACAGAATTTGTTGCATTTGTTGGGGATTACTTTAAGCAGCATCAAGTTCACGTTTTGTCCACTTTTGTCCATTTTGGCCAGCAGGGTGCTGTGTGTGAGATGAATAGAGTGTGCTCCAGCTAATGCAGGAAATTGTTACAGTGCAACAGTCTGTTTTTTGAATGAGTTTCTAATCTTGGACGAAAATGGAGCTCAATGGAACAGGCGAAGAAGATATACAGTACGGACTATATTCCACTTTAAACATGCTGCAGAGCAGAGAGTGTCTCTACACTCTGCTGCTGTTTTTATTCCTTATTTTAAATTAGCCTTTTTTGAAGTAACATGGGGCAACATTGGCCCCATCCTATGCACAAGAGCCTCATTGGAAAGGCGTTAATTTGATGTTAAGAGACTTGAGACTTGACATCAAGTTAAATTGATTTTTTTTAAATCCCCTCCACCCAGCCCATCACGTATATGTGAACAGAAGTGAGCTCTGTCAGCATGGGAGTGCTAGTTTGTTTTCATGAAATAAATTGCCACTAAGAGAAACAGAGAATATCACCAGACTTCATACATCTCATCCTGATAACCTTTTTTTGTTTTAGTATCCAAGTTGATTATCTGATTCAGTTTGTTTCAGGACATTAAAAATAATCACTGATATGTCCTTCCTCTCAAACCGTCTTTTCATGCATCCTTCTTCTCTTGTCCCCTCGTCTACTTGTAAGATTTGATCTAACGTATTGACAGCATGCTGGATTTATACCTCAGCTTCTCCTTCACTTTCTTCCTGGACATGAAGAAAATCTCCGTCTTCAGATACTCTGTCATCTCGTATCAGCAGTCTGTGATGTTCTGCATATTCCAGCAGTCATTTTCAAATTCATTTACCCTCAGAAGGCCTCGACTTCTTATTTTCTAGTAAGCGATTTCCTACATTTGCTTTTCAGTTCCCCCCTGTAAAGATGGATACAGCTCTCTTTGATCAAAGAAAGCTAAAGAAGCAGGATTCAAATATGTAGAAAAATATATCTGTGACTATTTTTTGTGTGTTTAAGTGACTGTCCTTTAATAAAACCACAACCTGCAATGCATTCTGGTCTATTTCTTGCTCCCGATGATGTAGAATCAGCTCATTGTTTTCACATATTCAATGGATTCTCCTGCTCATGATTGTTGGATTTAAAAGAAAATCATATTTACTGCAAACGTTTTCAAACATGTTTCTGACAATATGTGATCCCTGAAAAACAAAGAACATCATCAGCTGCTGATTTTCTAACAGTGACAGAGGATTCTATTCTTTACATTTCTACACCTCCCTGACCTCTCTTCTTCTTCTTCTTCTTCTTCTTCCTCATTTAGTTGCAACACTCCACGTAGTTCGCCGGCAGCATGCCCGACTTGCCGGTTCTCTGCACGGTGCCGTACATCCAGCCCTCGTCGATGGCCTGAGCGTTGATGATGACATCGCCGTCCCTGAATGAGACCTCGTCATGGTCCTGAGCCGCGTAGTCGTACAGCGCTCGGTAAACACGCTGAGGACAACAGGAAGAGACGGAGAGGGCAGATGGAGAAATTTGGTCTTCTGTGAAATGTGGTTTAACTTTTATTTCTCATGTACCTGTCTGTTTAGTTCATATGCTATTGACAGGCTCAGATTGTTATTCTAAGTGTCTGACAACATCACAGAGAGGATCCCTGCAGAGATAAATCGATTCATTCAAGAATAACATCCATCTTTAAGACCAGAAACTGTTGTTAAATCCTTTTCACGAAAGAAAACAGACTCAATTGACAAAAGCAATAGTTTAAAGGAAGGACAGAGGAGTTGCTGGTCTACCACAGCTCAATCATTATCTGTAAAATCCAGTTCATGGAGTGCCGGTGGGGTAGTGGTTAGTGTGCACGCCCCATGTACGTAGGCTCCAGTCCTGCAAGCGGGCAGCTGGGTTCAAATCCGACAAGTGGCTCCTTTCCCGCATTTCATTCCCCACTCTCTCGCCCTGATTTCTGACTCTATCTACTGTCCTATCACTCCAATAAAGACAAATCTGAAAACAGCTCCTGATCCCACGAGCTGAGAACCAGTGCTCTTATATAAATCTACCTGAGGTATTTACTGGTGAACTAAACAGACTCAACACAACTAGACCAGAAGGCACTGGGACCACAAGACTCCATTGAAAAAGCAGTTTTTTTGACTTTGCAGAAACGGGAGTTGCTCATCTACCGCTTCATTACTTTGTTCCTTTTTGTGGGACTTTGCTGCTTTTATCCGCAAGTTCGAACCAAATATAATTTTTCTGGGTACACAAATTAACCAAAAAACTGAGATTGATGGATTGTCACACCAGCTACTTCTGATATATCAGAGAGAATAACTGTTACTTATGTTGTAAGACACATTAATGAATCATATATGAATCATTTTCCCATCAGGATGCATTTGTCCCCAACAAATATGATTCAACCAACCTATTATTCATTCAAACCCCAAATTAGTTTATAGAAATGCCCTGACCTTTTAAAGTTCATGAAATGTTCATGTTAAGTAAACATGTTTTAAGTAGGAATGTACCATAGTGGCTGAGTGCGGCGGGGAGGTGACGGATCTGACTGATGACATGCTGGTCTGGTGCATGTAGCCGTGATACTGCTGCTGCTGCTGCATCTGGACGCCCTGATGATATGCTCCAGGAAGGACGGGAGCTGGACGAGGGACAAAGAGACACACAGACAAAGAGAGAGAATAAGAGTGTTTGAAGAGGCTTCCAGTGAATGTTGGATTCTGACACATGAAGAGCCTCGTCCACTGTGAGCACACGGTGAGTTTTAGGGAAACTTTAGAGAAACGTGAGAAACTGTTCAACAATAAACACTGTAAGAAGAATGTGAGTTAGTCAGTTTGATATGTGGATTACGTCAAACGCATGCGAATGTGTGCGTGACGTCATCGCCTTCATCCTGTTACGGTGTGCTGAAGTGAGAGGTACAACACGAGGACAGGTACCGGGGGTGTCGGTGCTGCTGCGGTCCCAGAGCTCGGAGGTCAGAGAGCTCACAGACTGAGTCTGGCTGTGGGTGAGAGACTGCTGGGAGTGCTGCCTGCTAAGTCTGCGATCAGCCCGCTCTGACAAATAGCCACCGCAGGAGGGCAGCACAGAGTGGAAATATTCACAACGCAGACAGAAAAAAAAAACAAGAAAAGATGAAGAATGAACAGAGAGCAAGGAATTATCAAAAAAAAAAAACTAAACACATTAAACTTCAAAGGAAAAGTCTGGTGATATTCTACATTTTTATTATTCCCAACAAAAGCCATGAAACCAACTTAGTCTCATATCCTATCTTCAATTATTTTCATGCCCATTGGTTACTGCTTGAGAAATAAATCTAAAGAATTAACGACGAATATATTTTTTCTGGAGCATAAATAATCTCATATTGTACTTTTACAAAATATGTTGTTATTAAAAGAGCAACTTATAGCAAACAGAAAAATATAGCAGAGATAGATTATCACCAGACTGTGTAAAACAGTGACTTCCTAAAAAATGAACTTAATATCAAAATGAAAAGCTTAATAAAGAGAAACACAGCCTTATCATTGGCCAACAAACTGGTGGTATTTTAAACAAGTTACATAACGTCTATTTCATGCAAACTAAACAGCACCTTGTGCCTTTGGCGTCTTATTTAAAGCTTTAAAACACTCGTTTTAGTCTTCAGCAGCAGCTGTAGAGCCTGTAGTTTTGTTAAGAGAGATGAATGTCAGGTGAAGTACCAGACATCCTGCGGAGGCTTTTTGATTGGATGTTGTCCTCCAGAGGGTCAAAGTCAAAGATGGAACCGGGGTCCGTCCTCCAAACCTTCATGTCTTCAGAGAGGAGGGAAAGTTCATCCAAACAGTAAAGAGGTTAACATAAACTGAGATTATCCAGCATGAGATCGCCTGTCTGACGGCGCACTCACACTACGGGACCTTTGATAACAGATTAATCAGAAAACACTGATCATTAAATCATTTCAGACACATCTCTGATGAAAAAGAATAGTTATGAAAAACAAAGAAGCTAAAACCAGAAAGATTCAAAGTTGAAACCTTCATTTGGCCAATAGGCCTGAAAAAGGAAAAGTTAGAAAAACAAATTATCCAGGGAAAAAAAACCCCCTGAAAACTCTGAAACAAGTGAAGTAGAAATAGAAAAGTTTGTTAGGATGTGTCATCTGTCTTGCTTTCAGATTAAGAACTAGTAATAAAATATGACACATTTCTCTCAGATGTGTCATCTGTCTTGCTTTCAGATTAAGAACTAGTAATAAAATATGACACATTTCTCTCAGACCTAGAGAAAGAGAACTTTGTGTTTATCTGGCAAACAAAATATTCCTCCAGTAGAAGAGTACAGCACTTGGAGCATTCAAGGTGACAAAAGAAGAGAAAAATGAATGTCCAGGAGCAAAATGTTATATTCTGGTGATTATTACACAAGCGGTCGTGAGGCTGGGTAGCTCTTCTTGTCCTCTTTGAATGTTCTGAGAGGGAGGAAACGTTTTATTTTGAACAGCCAGTAATGTTTAGTGAAACATACTGTACATAAGAAGTAATACGTTTGATCACAATTAAAATGAACACAATGCAAGAACAATAAATGTTATATTAAATTACTACTCAAGCCGATAGGAGTTACCAGCAGTTACCATGGTAACAGTGGATGAAGGGACTTAGAGTAGCTCTGTTCTAATCACAGAGCATCAGTGACATCACTGACCTACGATGATGCCTCCAGGTCGTCTGTCCATTTCCATCGCCTGGGGGTGGATTCCTTTGCTGTATCCCGCCTCTGCAATCATCTGATTGGCTCTCTGGTAGCGTTCCATGCTGGGATCGTCCAATCCTGGTGTACAGCCTCGACCGCGCGCCCGCTCGAAGTCCTCGTGGTACTTGGCCTGTTGGAGGAGATGAATCACAACACACGTTTATGCTTCAGGGCCAAAATAATGAAAATATTAAACACAAAGACCAGTAGTGTAAGAAATCATACAAACACACGCACACACACTCATACAGGTGGAGGTGCATTTGGTCAGTGAGCAAATAAAACACACAGGTAATGTTTTTCAATTATTTTATTACATAAACACACACACACACACACACACACACACACACACACACACACACACACACACACACACACACACACACGCACACACACACGCACACACACACACACACACACACACACACACACACACACACACATTGCGGGTATGTTGCGCGCCCCATGTACGGAGGCTATAGTCCTCATCACAGCAGTCGTGACCTTCAACTCAACCTCAGCCCTTTACTGCATATCATCCCAACTCTCTCTCCTGCAAACATTTTTTGCTTCTCTTCAGTTGTCCTGTTTAATAAAGGTAAAAACGCCTAAAAATGTTTAAAAAAAGAAACAATCTCTGCATGACTAGAACTTGATTTAAGGATGATGAGCGACAATCTGTTTCCCCTTTACTACACCCACAAGTTAACTTTAAACAGTTACTCAAAGAGCAAGACTTTGGGGTTGTTTTTGTTCATTTTATACCAATATAGATACCCACACAGACACTCTCACACACACACACACACACACACACACACACACACACACACACACACACACACACACACACACACACACACACACACACACACACACACACACACACACACACACACACACACACACACACACACACACACACACACACACAAACACACAAACACACACAGAAGCAGCTCTGTCGTCCATGCCGTCTGGTTGTTGCTGTTAGTAAAAGTGTGTCAGTCCCACACGAGGTGCCACTTCACTCATGTTAGCTCCTCCCACAGCTCATCCAGGAGCCATGGCAGCGAGGCCGCTACCATGGAAACTGAGTCCTGTGATTTCCTGACACGCCTGTACTCAGGTGTGTCCAGCTCGGTGCAGCTCCGCCCTCTCATTTCCTGCAGCCCGCGCTGGTACCTCACCTGTTAAAACACAAACAAACAATAGAAGACATGCTATTTCTGAAAATCTGTATATGTGCGTGTGTGCGTGTGTGCGTGTGTGTGTGTGTCTTGCCGAACTGATGTTCTCCTGGTTTTGTCTGACTCTCTCAAATTCAGGAGTCACTCCGACACTTGTGGCCTTCACTGCGCTCTGCTTGTACTTCACCTGAGGAGGACAGACAGAAAATACAGAAAATACGAATACGACTAATGTGACAGAAGAAAACATATTTTCTGTCACACATTACATCTTCTCATCATCTACTGTGTGTGTACGTGTGCGTGTGTGTGTGTGTGTGTGTGTGTATGTGTGTGTCCTCACCGAGCTGATGTTCTCCTGGTTGCGTCGGACTCGCTCCATCTCAGGCGTGTCCCTGACAGCGGTGCCACAGCCCACCTCGTCTCTGTAGCTGACCTGACGGAGCACAGATCATCACTGAGGGAGAGCTTTAAAGGAGCAGTATGGCATCTTTCATAACCTAAAGAGACCTCAGCTTCTGTTTGTGACACAGTTTTTCTTTCACTAGCTTCACGGGTTGAGCTGTTAAAATGTAAATGATGAATCATATCTTCCTGCCATTGCACCTCTATGAACACTTACACTGCTTAGCAGATAGTTCATTTTTATGTTAGGTGGGTTACGTTTACAAGCCCTTTAGGGTTTCTGTTTTCTGTTCTGTTTCGGTCTTATTTTAATCTTCTTTCTTTTGCACAAAGAAGGAAAGAAAGTTAAGAAAGAAAAAGTATAAAAAACAAGCATTATCTTTAAGTTAAGTGGAACTGTTTTTGCACTTCTTTGTCTTTATTATTCGTATAAAGACAAACATTTTCCAAAAGTTCCAAATCTTCATAGCTTGCTGTCGGCTCATTTTGAATGTGATGTGATGCATGTATACGTACATCACTGATCTTCTTAGCGTTCTCTCTGGCTAGGACAATCTCAGGCATCTCAGTGGCCGACGACAACAAGCCTCTCATCAGCTTGGAGTCCCAGCTGTACCGCAGCTAGAGGGCGACAGAGAGCAGCTTAAAAAGAACCAAGACATATATCCCAAGTCTCTTAAGTAACATCTATACATCCCAAGATCTAGAAGGGTGGCATTTTCTAAAATATAATGAAGAGGTATTATTCAGAGCATAATCAAAGTGTGTTAAAACGGGACCTAAACTGAACTCACAGAGCTGATGTGTCTCTGGTTGGCTTTGACTCTCTCCATCTCCGGGGTTTCTGAGAGCAGACTGAACTGTCCCTTCAGACGCTCTGCCTCGTCCTTATACTTCTTCTACAAAAAGTAAGAGACATTAGAGACACGTTCATCGTATGAGCTCTCAGAATAAAGCATCATCCTTTAAGTCACAAACTACATCTCTGACCTTATGAGCAAAAATGTCATTTACCTGGCCATACTTTCATAATGTTTCTGGGCTGACTGACTAATAAAAACAAATATTTTTCATATAACCTAGAAGATTGCTTCAGCTGGATAGCAGCACACACACACACACACACACACACACACACACACACACACACACACACACACACACACACACACACACACACACACCTGGCTGTAGACATCTTTGAGGTAGGAGGCGTGCAGCAGTTCAGGTGTGTCTGTAACCGTCCCGTATGAGCTTTCTCTGAGCTGCTCAGTCTGCTTGTACGACCGCTGAGACACACACACCAAGAGGACATGTGTTATTAGTGCAATGGAATAATAATAACTACTATTTTAAGTTGGAAAGTCACATATTGTTGCTTTAATACTGCTTTGATCTTATCCTGCATTAAGCAGCTCAGGGAGACACTTCGAAAGGAAAATTTTAATTTGTTCTGATTAAATAAATTTTGCCGCTGTAAGGATCAACAATTATCAAAAAACACAGACTGAGGAGTTACCTGGCTCTGGATCTCTGACGCTCTCTTTGCTCTCTGAATCTCCAGGACATCTGTGCTCAGCTCCATACCTTTACCCACAATATCCCTCTCTAGATCTCTGCGATACTCCTTCTGCAGAGTCACACACACACACACACACACACACACACACACACACACACCAAACAATGCTTAGATTAGAGTCACATCTTTAGTACTTTTTAAGAGTGTGTATCTGCTGTCCAGTTTACCTGGTTCAGTATCTGAGTGGCATTTTTGACCCTCAGCAACTCAGGTGTGTCCTCCAGCCCGATGCCGGATAAGCCCCGCCCCTTCACTTCCTGCTCCAGGTCTTTCCTGTACTCTTTCTGTAGGGAGAAATAGTAAGACTATATAAATCAATACTGATTCTGATATAATGATTTAATATCAGTGGAGTGCAGTGTAGAGGAAGTCAGAAAGATACTGGGTGGAGAGTTGTAGGTGTGGACTTGACTGGGAACCAATGAAGGTGGATAAGTGTGTGAGGGATTTGCTGCAATGCCATAATCCAGAGGAGAAGTGATCAAAGTGTGTATGAGATAAAATAAAATAAGTTAAAAACGGATTAAATCAACTTTTAGGATTACTAAAATACTTTAATTAAATTAATTATTAACTCTAACATCTTAAAATACTTAAAAAAATACTGAAAGTTCTTACGTCTTTACTTTCAGAAATTACTTCAAAGAGTAAAATACTTCATCTCCAATTCTTTCCTCTTGTGTGTGTTACCTCGCTGAGCAGGCTGCTGGCGTGAAGGGCTGTCAGGTATCCAGGTGTCTGGTCTGCATCAACTAAAGCTTTCCCCTTTATCTGCTCCACATAGTCCCTACGATACTCCCTCTGAGAGAGAGAGAGTGAGAGAGAGAGAGAGAGAGCGAGAGAGAGAGAGAGAGAGAGAGAGAGAGAGAGAGAGAGAGAGAGAGAGATTAGCAGGTTGGTTGGCAGAGATAGGCTGTGTTATAGATCTAGATGAAGTTAGTGATTTGTGATTGATTTGTTTATAGATATCCTGATTATGGTCACAGTTAAATATTCTTTCTGGTGTAAATTTTAGGGCAGTCAAACAATTAAAATGTTTAATGCTGTTAATCACCCTGTTTTTATTTTGAAATAAAGTAAGCACCTTCTAGTATATCTAAGGTTACAACATTAACTAAACCACAGAAAAGGAAGTTGTTACAGATCAAAAAACTAAATGAAAGTAAAAATGGGAAATGTTTCATGTCATATCGTTGATTTTACTTTGACTCGAAAACTGAGCTGTCTAGGAGGTTTTTTAAAATGAAATGAGGAGTTCAAAGATGCAGCAACGTGTTCTATTCCATCACTGTGACGACAGGAAGACACCGTGATTATCCACGTTGTGCCTCAGAGGACAAAATAGAATGCCATTTATCTCTACTTTAAAAAATGGATGCATTCATTTCAGACCTTAATTCATTGTGATTAACTGTGCTGACAGCCCTAGTACATTTTCATTTTTATAATTGACCCCATCTTTGCTGTGCATAAGTTTAGTTAACAATTCAAGGCCAGCTTCAATTAAAGGCAGGGTTATATCACAGGCTGAATAAATAAAAGCCTGGGCTATTATTTGAAGTTTAACGGTAGATAGGATTGAGGGTTGTGAGTGCTTTACCTCACTCTGAATCTTCTGAGCTTCTTTAGACACCTTGTAGGTCTGAGTGTCTCCAAACTCCATCTGAGAGCGACCTTTGTTCCTCTCATACTCCTCCCTGTACTTCACCTGAAACAGATTTTCACCTGTTAACTGAGAGAGAGAGAGAGAGAGAGAGAGAGAGAGAGAGAGAGAGAGAGAGAGCTGCAGCATGAGCAGTATCTGTCTGTCACCTGGCTGTGCAGCACTGCGTTCTCCTTGTGGTGGAGCTGTTCAGCTGTGTCCAGAGGGATGTGGTAGTGAGCCTTGGTCTCCTCATACTTCTTCTTATACTCCACCTACAAAACACACACACACACACACACACACACACACACACACACACACACACACACACACACACACACACACACACACACACACACACACACACACACACACACACACACACACACACACACACACACACACACACACACACACACACACACAGACTCAATCAATAGAATCCCATGCTCACATAAATTGGCTCATGTATTGACAGTACTGAGTTGTGAAGCAGGTGTGTGATGTCGTCGTACGTTACTCTGCAGTTTGCTGGCGTGCAGAACATGCTCAAGCTGCAGGAGGTTGGGCAGGTCTGAGGTACCTTCAGGTTTTTGGTTCTGGTTGAGCTTATACTTCACCTGGAGAACAGAACAAGAGTCCTTATTAGCATATTACATTCTCCCGTTATTTTCCAAAAATCTAGGAGCGTCATTTTTGGTCATTGGCAGGCTCAGATTGTTATTATTAGTGCCTGACAACAGTACAGAAAAGATAGAAGAGGAAGAAGATTTTTTTATAGCAAGTACCAACCCCTAATTTGCTCTCTTTACCACACTCGACTGACAACATTTTTCTCTTCAGAACACAGAGGGGTTGCTGGTCTACCTTTGCTGCATATTGAGTGAGATCAATCAGTTTTGCAGCAGCAGCAATGATCATTTTGTTGGTTTAATCTGAGCCTGTCAGTGACAGTAACAACAACTTTTAATGGATGTTCTTAGATAATCGGCATCTTTCATCGCTGCTTGATGAGGCAATCTACTGCAGCAATTCCAAAACATTTTGTTAGTTTTTACGAGCCTTAAATGTTTTAAAATTGGGCACTTTAATTTGTCATTAAATGTAAACAGGATGTACAAGTGAAATGCAGCAGTAAATAATAATCAGAGCTTCTCTCTGACAAAAACACCAACTTTCAGCCTGCTTGGCAGCTCCTCGCTGAAAGAATCCAAAGGAGAGGTTCCCAAACGTTTTGTACTACAGGTAATAAGACTCAAAATATGGTCAAAAAAAATATGCCTCAATAACTTCTTAATTATGATCTTCCTCGGTTAGAGGTTATCATATCGTAATCATCAGCACTTTAACTGTATTTTGCTGTTCATTATATCTACTTATGAAGCTGTGTTTTTCACTTGACTGACAGTCTGTCAGAATGGTGACTGCCTCCTGCTCACTCCTACATCTCAGATAAAATTAGGACATTATGATTCCACTTAATGACAGAAATGCTGATGAACATTAAGCCCAACCTCCAACCTCCAACCTCCAGGCTACAAAACATCAAAACATCAAAACATCAAAAGCACCTCAGGGCTGTGTTTTTCTGCGGTTATAAAAGTGAACATTTAATTCATTTTCCTCACACATGCTCATGTCTTTGATATTTTTCTCATCGATTTAGTGCAATATTCTGTCCCATTTTGAGCCCCTTTTGAGAATGTTTCTGCTGAAAACTGATTTCACATGCAGGCATGTTGATACAGACTGTTTGTGGCTTGGTAAGAAGTTTTTTCTGTAAAGCAGCTGAACGTTCCTGAACACCAGGCAGCATTCAACACAACACCCTGTTATGTAACCTTGTGAAGTGAAGAAGCTCTTTTTCTGTGGCTGTGTGGGCAGAGAGCCGACTAAAACTGAACCATGGCATCATCTGTGTGTGTGTGTGTGTGTGTGTGTGTGTGTGTGTGTGTGTGTGTGTGTGTGTGTGTGTGTGTGTGTGTGTGTGTGTCTGTGTGTCCATGAAAGTGTGTCATCTTAATGTGCATTTGCATGTTTTGATGTCTGTTCCAATGTCTTATATGTATGTGTGTGACTGCATGTTGTGCCTTTTCTTGCATGTATGTGTCGATCAGATCATCAGGTGTGTGTGTGTTTGTGTGTGTGTGTGTGTGTGTGTGTGTGTGTGTGTGTTTGTATGTGAATAACCTCACCAACTTCTCTAACTCTCTGCCTACAATCGGACTGGATTTGCCTTACAAAGGTTGCCATGGAAACGCCCACACAACAGTCTGAGTTTCGGAGAGTGAGACAAAGTGAATGAAACACACACACACACACCCACACACACTATACTCTGGTCGGTGGTCGGTATGTACTTAATTTATGTCAGCGCATGAGAAATGATGTGACCGTGATTCACTCACCTGACTGGCCAGAGCAGCAGCAGCTTGTGTGTGTTTGAAAGAGAGACAGTCCAGTGGGTTGTAACAGGGTCGCTGGCCCTTTAAATCTTTGTCAAAACTTTCCTTATACTTCACCTGCAGAAGAGAGAAGAAGAAGTGAACTAAAGCTCATTCAGAGTGTCTCGAACTGTCAGATGTTAGTTCCCCAACATCTGACTAACGCATGCTGGGCGGACTATGTGAGTGTGTGAGTGTTTGTGTGAGTGTGTATTTGTGTGTTACCTGACTGGCCAGTTTTGAAACGTCTTTGGCGTGCTGGATGTCTGTTCTATCCAGAAGAGAGCCGTCACTGTAAACCGGTAGCTTTGTGTTATTCTTATAGGCTGCCTGCAGAAATGACGCACACACACACACACACACACACACACACACACACACACACACACACACACACACACACACACACACACACACACACACACACACACACACACACACACACACACACACACACGTGTCATGTACATATTTTAATTGAAAATCTAGAAATGTAGACAAATGTACAGCGATATTCAAGGCCCAAACACCATCACACAAACCAGGGCATACCAACGCACGCGCACACTCACACACACACACACACACACACACACACACACACACACACACACACACACACTCACAAATAATTTAAAACACACAAAGCTGAATTATATATTGAAAAATTAAAGAGGATTCAGCTTTTACTTATGAAAGATGTCTGACTCTGTGTTGAGAGAATGTCTGAGGAAACACACACACATAGACACACACACACACACACACACACACACACACACACACACACACACACCTTGTAGGCCACTCTCACATAATGGCAGTTCAATGTTGACAGCGGAACGTTTTCTATAATTTATCAGCAGTTCAGCTCAGAGAACAGCTGGTTAATGGGACTGTTGTCATGGAAATTACTGTTGGAACATGTTCAGACACACACACATAAATCCTGCCTACACAGACTCACATCGTTGGCCAGTTTGGCGGCGTTGCTGGCGTTGACAATGTCCGGTCTGTCTACCACAGGGTTGTAGTGATGAAGCTCCTCTTTGCCTTTTCTGTAGCCGACCTGAGAACAGTTACTGTGTAGTATGAGCATGTATCCAGTTTGAATCAGCATGTATCACAGCTTCTTCTGTCATAATGCAACTTTCTCAGGAGCATTTTAAATCTGACTGATTCTCAGCTTTTAGAAACTGATATGAAATCCCTCGTACCCTTCTCTCCCTCATACAGGTCTGCTGTTAGTAATGCACAAAATGAATGCAACAAAAGGGTTAATATTTGTGCTGTTACACTCAACTCTACACAGATGAGCTGGTGTTGTTGCCCACACAAGGTGTTACATAACCACTTATTTCTTAGAGATATTATTCTGACATAGTACAGTATAAACGTGTATCAGTGAATGTGTGTGTGTGTGTGTGTTTAGTTACCTCACTCTGGTTCCTGTTGACCTCCATGGCGTGCTCCACCTCCGGCAGTGTTTTCATGTTGGTGTAGCTGGACTTGCCCTTCTCACGGTTATACTTCTCCTTATAGAACTTCTACTCAGAGACCGTGAGCGAGAGGAGGTGAGAAAGAGACACAAAGGAAAGACAAATTAAAAGAAGGAGTGTGAAGGATTGAGGGAGAGATTATGATGACAAATTCAGCCTGGTGCTGAATACTGAGTGCAGACGAGCGGCTTCCAACTGTGAAGAAATTCATGCCATGAAAGAGAAATGAATGTTAAACTGAGTGAAGAAAAACAGGCATGAAGAACCAAACTGCTGCCATCTGTGTTCAGTTCTAGTTTAAATGTTTTTGTAATAAAGCCAACAGATTGTAGTTCTGTCTAAAATAGCTTGTTTGTGTTTTGTGACACACTCTATATCATAATGAGGTGAAATTACGATATAATTCATTCAAAAAGCAACTAACACACGTAGATAAGAGTTAGTTAAAACAGAGATGGTTAGTTTTGAACCTTAAGCCCTATATGTACATATTTTTAGGTCGGAATGATGAATGTGTACATCATGGGCTGTGGTGGCTGCATCATTTTTCCGGCTTGTAAAACAACATTCAGTTTAAAATTCTGCCTCATATTGTTTATCTGATAAACATAGTTACTTTTGTTCAACTCAGAAACAACACACAGAAACACAAATCAAGGCAACAGTAGAGAAGGAACTGATGTTCTGTAAGGTTAAACCGATGTTTTTTGACGTTTGTCCGGCGGCTTTGAAGAAAGAATGATATGAAAAATAATTTAGCCGATGACTGTTTCAAGACTTCTTTTGGTGTCAGACTCCCACATTGCCAACATTTTCTCTGTGTTCGTCCAACAGCCGACTTCCTGTGCCCAATAAAAATCCTCCTCTCTCAATCAGCAGTCAGGTATACTAGCCTGCCAGCACTGAATACAAACAACAACAAACAAACATCGGCTACAGACATCTGTACACAGTATTTGCTGCTGGTAGGATGTCTGCAAACAGGGACGCTATCGGCTGATACCGATGTTAAACGGATGTATCGATGCCGAGTGGATGTATTTTGGATTATAAAGGAGTAAACCGCACAGATTTAAAAAAACATAACTAGTTTGGTAACTCAGATGTAACAGGATCTTGATCTTCAGCCTGCAGGTCTGAGATCAGTTTCATTGTATCGCTGCTTTGCAGACACTGGGACTGTCTGGGCTTGCTTTTGTCTCCGTGTTCGACGTTATACGCTCCAGTTAGCGTTTCATTGCTCGGTCAACAGACATGAATCCAGAAAGCATCAGGCCCGTGCCCCAGTTCCCCACCGGCTTTATTTTCTGCCCTCTAGGGCTGACTGACACTGAAAACTAAAAGCTCTGTCGCTGAAGGCGTCCTTTCTGTAACGTTTTCAGACAATCTGAGCCAGTCACTGACAAAAACAAGCAACTTTTAGAATGACATCACGGTTATTGCAGCATGTTTCATGGTTGCTGGATGAAATAATCTACTGGAGGAATAATATTTTACCTTAATGTCATCTTGACCGGAAACTTAAAGTAGTCCAGGTTTAAAAATACTTTTATTTACACATGTGATGGTGTCTTCAGAGATGTCACTTTTAGAAGTGATCCTGTTTGTGCCCTAGTTTTTGAGCGGTGTGTGTGTGTGTGTGTGTGTGTGTGTGTGTGTGGTGCAGTAGGTCAGTGTTCATGTCCTCAGGCAGTAGAGTACCATACAGCTGCTCTCTGTGTTTACACCTAAGCAAACAAAAAGATACCTCTAAACATCCTTGCTCTGTGTTTGTGTGCGTTTCTGTGTGTGTGTTTAAAACTACAAGCATGATCCTAGATTTCTAAACCTCGGTCTTATTTGTGGGTATTGTTGGTTGTAAATGATTAGTTGACACATTCAAACTGTTTTAGTAGATGGCTACAGACAGCAGCAGAAACAGGCTGTCATGGCTGCAGTGTAATGTTCAAAGCTCTTGTTTTTGTCACTGACGGTTGTACCTTTTTGTAAAGTCAGATACATTTTTAAAGACTGTCCAAAGATTACATCTTTTAATCACAATCAGTGGCTGAATGTTATTAGTTAATCAATAGTTAACCGTGATCAATCACATGATTAATCTTATGTTTGAATGTCTGTTATTTTGTATTTGAAATTATCAGTTTTGTTATGCTTTTATTTTGCAGTAAAATAACGCATAATAGATTTATAGCCAGAAAATCAGTAATAATGGTTAAAGTGTGTGTAGCATTGGCAGTAACAGCTAAGTATGATGATAGAATGATCAGTCTAATATTAATGTCAGTGACTTTAATGATGATGTAACGGGGAGGACTGATTATGTTTATTATAGAGGATGAACTTGAGCAGCTCTAACATTCACGACAAACATGCTTTTATTTTGAAATAAACTAAGGAAATTCCAGTAGATTGCAATTTACGTCATTAACTTAACCACAGAAAAAGGTTATTCCCTAACCAAGTTCCGACAGACTGAGCTTCCACCGCCTCGACTGGTCTCAAAAATGATCTTTGTCTGTTGGCTGATGTTCAAAAATATTTTGTAACTTTTAGATAATTAGACCTGTACATTTATAAAAACTAGAAAAAGTTAGAACTACTCTTTTAATGCTCCAAGTTAGTCTGTATTTTAAAATCCAAAACCATCATCTCTGCTGTCCTGCTGTCATTCTCCCAGCTCTTCATATTATTATCCAACCAGTGTGTTATTAGTATGAAGATGTTTAAACAGCTCCTATCTACCTGGAAGGATGCTCTTAATTTACAGTCATTTGACTCACATCGCTCTGCGTCTTGGTCAGCTCTTTAGCGAACACGGTCTCGATGGTTTGGGGCATCTGAGCATACAGGCTGCAGCCGGCCTCCTTCTTACCCTCCTCCCTGTACACTTTCTGCAACACAAAACAAAACATCACTCATTTTAATCTGATGAATATGTTATCAAAACATCAGTTCCTCCTCTCTTAAGGGAAGCAGCACAACCAAGCTTTGTTAAGTCACCTGCGCACTCTCAGGCGTGCTAGTATGAAAATAAAAGTTAACAAGAAGGCTAACCTTCCAGATTTAAATGATAAACTATCATAATAACATCATTCTTCATAACAATAAGACATATTGAAATCGTAGTGCTGGTTTCTGACCCATAACTGATTCTTAAGAGAATCAGATATGAGTTAAAACAAAGCAGAAACAACAGACACAAAATAATGGATCTTAATATGGAGCAAAATACAAATTTATAGAAACAAATTTGCAGATCTGCATTTTCATTGTCTTTGCACACAGTTTGTAATACCAAAAAATACTGCAAATATCGGGGCGTTGATCGAAAGACATAACTTCAGTCAAGATAATGACTTTACAGATTTTTATTTAGCTGACATTGGAGCTTTGATAAGAGTACAAGCGTGTAAGAGAGCATAAAGAGTCGATCGCTTGTTTACAAACAGCGACTTTTTCAGCAACCGTTTTTTCTACCTCGCTGTGTAGCTGGGTCTGCTCCTTGGCGTGCTGAGTGTCTTTGGTCTCAGGCAGCAGAGAGTACAGGCAGTTCACCCGCTGCTTCTTACCCGCCTCCTTGTATTTACTCTGAGAACAGAAAAACGACATCAAGATCAATATGGTATTATTCTTTGTCCATAAAAAAGCCCCAATGATCATCATCTCTTGTCTCAGTAGTTCTCTTCATTCTGATTCACTACTCTGCCATTTATGATATTTAACTATGAGCAAGTTTATCTTTTTTTGTTAAACAACCACAAACTGAATTTTCCACAGCTGCCAAAGTGCAGACATAAAAGACACAACATTTAAACTTAAGACCATTTCTTAAATGTAAGGCCTGAAATTTAAATAAACCAGGCTGTGAATAAAGCTCCCAAAGTAGACAAATCACACAAAACCCATTCATAAGTGCCGAGTCTCTTGATCAATTATTAATCTGTAAAGTAGGGAAATAAAAAATGGAGCAAACCCAAAACACAACCGGGCTATTTCAGTCAGACACACTAAAATATTCAGAGTAACACACAGAGGGAGTGTTTCTCACCTCGCTGTGTGTCTCGGCCATCTCTTTAACAAACTGAGTCTGCAGCGTTTCAGGCAGCAGAGAGTATAACGTGTTGGGCAGATCCTCTTTGTCCTTCTTGTATTTTGTCTAAGAGAGAAAAACAACACACAGAAAATGAATACATATTGATGCATATATATATTTCAACTTGTCAGATAGAATTTGAAAATTCCCTGTCCAAAAACAAGACTATTTGGCATAAACCAAAGACAGTCTGTAAAAAGAGGAGGAATAAACATCACTTAGATACCTTTTTTTAATACTGTGCGTAAGACTTTTTAGCATTCTTCCAAATACACTTCTTATATACAGTCTATGGGATACATATCTATAGAATATTGAGAAACATACAGTGACATACATGAACGTAGTCCTCACCTCGCTCTGAAGTTCAGAGATCTGCTTTACAAACTCCATCTCTTTGGTCTCCGGCATGTGGTGGAAAACACTGCTGCTGATCTCCTGTCTGCCTTTCTGTTTGTATTTAATCTAAGGAACACAAACATAGACAGAGAGCACAAAGATATGTGAAAATAAAAACTTAAACAAAAGGCTGCTCATGTTCTTATCTATTAGTTACTCTCTTCCGGCAAAAGAAGCGAAACAAATCAAACTTGAATCTCCACCCTCCAGGGAACAGTTTGTTTAATACAAAAAAAGAAATGTATCCAACATTCACTTATCTATAAAATTATGTTATATTTAGGGCTGCCAAACAATACATTTATTAAAACTGTCACTGCATCACAGGATTTCAATAGTTAATTGCGATTTATCTTCTTTTTTTTGATTGCATGTTTGAAATTCCAGTGTTTTGGATTTCAATAGTTTTTATTATGCTTTTACTTGACTGAAGCAAAGGGCACAGTGATTCTTGTATGTGGTACATTTATGTGGCTTATTGGAATCGTGGCTCATGAACTGAGAATAAACGGATCAAAGACATCCTAACTGAGAAACACATTGGACATTGGTTTACCATAAAGAACTCATAAGTCTGACACTAGTTCCAATTCACCCCTCAGTGGCTAATTAGATAAATATTTGATTTGTTCAAAATAAGTTTCGACAGTGTGTGCCAGTGGAAGTTGATGAACGTCCACCCACCTCACTCTGAAGCTCCATGGCAGCTTTAGCGATCTTCATCTCTTCTGTCTCGGGCAGCACAGAGTACAGGTTGGTGCTCAGCTCTTTCTTACCTCCTTCCTTGTACTTCACCTGGAAAAGAAAGAGACATGTAACAGGCTGATGGCACGATACTGACTGAACCCTGATGCTGTAAACATGTTGTCTCTGAGTCTTCCTGCACTACAGTGAGAACATGTTGCAGGATGTTCCCAATACTGAAGTTGCTGTTGATTCAAAGGACAACACTGGATAATGAATATTTCTTAGAGTGAAGCTGAACAGCAATGTGTGCAAAAAGTTCACTGACACAAATCTGACTTTGTTTACATGGAGCCTACACTTCTGATTATAAGTTATTCAAAAGCACAAACATCAACTCAAGATAAATTCAGTTTCAACAAATGCACGAGGGTAGTTTGAACATTTTTAGTTGATGAAAAAATCTCAATGTGTTTTAGAATCCCAATTCATTGAAACAGATGACCGGATGTTTTCGAACTAAATAATTTATCTCTGAAATAAAATATCACTTTTAAGAAAAATGCAGCTATTGAGGCTCTTTTATCAATATTTGTCAAAATATATAAAATAATATGTAGCAGTGCGAAGCTCCTCAACTTCAACGAGGAATCACTTGAGAGTCAGATTCCTTATTTTTGAATTGAGCTCGTTTGAATGGACGTTTCCTGTATTCTCAATGTTGTGAGAGGAATTGAATTGTTTTTATTTTTATTGTCTAACGGTTATATGACTCTGGAGCAAAAGGACAATGAAAAGCTTATAATAAAAATACCTCTGAAAGTCCTGTAAACACAGTATGCACTGTACTGTACCTGACTCTGCAGCTCAGTAGCCTCTTTAGCATGTAGCGTCTCAAGAGTTTCAGGTAACTGGTGGTAAAGACAGCTGGTCGCCTCCTTCCTGCTCGCCTCCTTGTACTTGGCCTTAAAGAAAGCATTGCCTGTTAGACACTGTTTCCAACACAGACTGTGTTTTTAGGCTTCTTCTACAGGGTATTGCACATGTTCGTTTCACCCTCTCCTTCTAATACGTGTACATAACTCAATCTATTTTAAAGATTTTAAAAGAAAAATCGATTTTAAAACATGAAATTGCTACAGCTGCACCTGTAGGTCAAAGTAATATAGACCCTGAACATGTTAAAATGAACAATGTTTCCATTTTCCCCTTTAGAGTGAAACATCTGAATTAAACACAAAGCGATGAATTAATAAACATGCAAAATGTATGAATGTTTTCCTCACCTGACTCTGCAGCTCAGAGACACTTCTAGCTAACTGAGTCTCGGCGGTTTCTGCGAGCTGAGAGTAGAAGCTCTGAGAGAGGCTCCTGATCCCGTCCTCTTTGTACTTACTCTGAGCAGAGAGAGGCAGAGTATCAGACAGAAAAGATTCCAGTTATCCAAGAATAAAATCGACCAAGAAGAGGAAAGTCAGAGTGACCATCCGTCAATATCTTCATGTGTGTCTGTGAATTCAAGTGTGTTCTTTTTTTTTTTTTTACCTCGCTCTGTATGTCGGACATCTTGGCAGCGAGCTGTGTCTCAGCCGTCTGCGGCAGCTGAGCGTAAAGACTGGACGACATCAACTTCTTCCCGCTCTGCTTGTACTTGTTCTGGAGGAAACAGCAGCAGGTGGAACAAAACATGTAGGATTCAGTTCAACAAAGTGTAATTGCCTGCAAAGCAATCCCTCCAAGTGAATGAGCCTGATGAAAACACATGTAAATTCTTGTTTTTTGTCCCTGACAGACTCAGATTATTATTCTGAATGTCTGACATCATCACAGAAAGGATCCCTACAGCAGGCCACGGTTCTCTGGAGATGTGCAAACGTCTTTACGGCATTCGCTACTGTTTGATACAATAGCTGAGGCTAAGAGGACGAGGACGTGATGGGTGAAGCTCAGGAGAGAAAAAGAGAATTAGTGACTTAGAAGCAGAGTGTAATCCCTGCAGATCTTACTCAGAACAGATTGTGTGTTTCACAACAGTGCAGTTGCATTACGAGACCTTTGGGGGGCGCCAAAGCGCACCAAACCGAATTCCTACATAATGTTGCTTTAAATTCACTGTGTTGAAACTGAAACAACAACATCAACTCATCATCATCATCTTGTTTTTTTTGTCAGTGGAGTCTGGTAGCGATATGTCCAGCTATTTCTTTTTGAAATAATCCTCCTCCTCCTCTAGAACAAAAAGCTCGATCTCTGTGGATCCTTTCTGTGATGAAGTCAGACACTCTGAGCCTGTCAGGGACAAACACAAGAATGTTGAATGGACACACTTTGATCGAGAGAGCAGAGAACGCATCATTCTGCAGACTGCATAATACTTTCATGACTTCAAACTCTTGATCCCCCCCCCCCCCTCCCCTCAGCTGAATACTTGAGCTACATTACATAAATGCATCTGTTGTGGGAAAACTTTGTTAATGCTTTCCCGGCTACAAACAGCATCCTTAATATCCACTGCATTTAGAAAAGACTCTTCAAAGTGTAAAAACATTATTCATTCATAAATGTCTTTGAGGAGAAACTCAGCAGCTTCTCTCCGCCTGAAATATGTAACACAGTCAGTGTGCACAGTGTGAGTGAGAGAAGTAACCATTCTGCGTCTTAAATCTGTTTTTACATGAAATAACGCGAGTGTTCAGTTCCCCCCCCCCCCCCGCAGGACAAACATGTTCTGTGAATATGTAAATGTGAGTCATAGATGTGTGTACCTGGCTCTGCAGCTCTGTGACCTCTTTAACGTGCTGCGTCTCCAGAGTCTCAGGCAGCTGGTGGTAAAGAGAGCTGCTCACTTCTTTCTTTCCTGCTTCCTTATACTTCACCTGCAGGACATTACAGGTCACACATCTGGTTCAAATGTGTGTCTGTTTTCAATAAAAATATCAGAGTCATTGACGATGTTTTTATTACTCTTTTTTGTTATGGGTGACTTTTGTTCACGATTGTTTTATCATCATTAAAAGCTTTTAGAATCGAATGCACCACTGGGGCGCTGATGGCCTAGCGGTTAGATGGTGCCCCATATACAGACTGTGTAGTGTTATTGAAGTATTGAAAACTTTGACAAGTCATCATTTGGCAAACAAAGTCTGCACAATATGGAATGATAGCAAAGTATGTAACATTAAGTCAAAGCTGACAACACTGAACACATCCTGGGGCTGATTTTGTTTTGTTAAAGTTTAATTATTAAAATTGAAGAAGTGTCGTTTTTTAAAAATAAATCAAAGTTTCTCTGCACACTTCGGTGCAGGACAGGCTGAGTACTGAGTCCATACAAGTTAAAACGAATGTTAACAAATACAATTAAATGGTTTTTATAACCACTGGTATTGGTGGGCTATCAAGATCAGATCTGCATCAGGAAGAAAAAATAATAGAAACTGGAAAAATCCTGAAAGACAATTCTTTTTGTTTTTTAAAAGACTTAAATTGTCGCTCTTCTGCCTGCAGATGTAAAAACCAAAGAGCTGAGAGGAAATCAGAGAACAGATCAACACAGAGAATGAGAGATGAGGAATAAGTTGTAGAGAGGAGGAGGAGGAGGAGGAGGAGGAGGAGGAGAGGAATCCAGCAGCCCTGAATGTGTTTCTGATAAGACGACCAGAATAGACAACAGTGGTCAACTTATCTGCCATGTGTGAACAGATCAAAGTGTCCCAGATGGAAAACATGACCCCTAAACGTATCTTTTACCACATGGACACATTTCCTGGACACTTATTGTCAGAAAACCAGAACCAACATTTCATCGTCTGTCTCTAGATACTTCTGTGATCATGTCTGTGGCTCTCAGATTTCTAACAGACAACCTAAATCATCTCGTGTATCTAAAGTCTGACCAATGAGTCTCCAGAACGTAGATCAATAAAAAAGTGAGTGTTGACGCAAACCTGCAGTCCCTCACAGGAGCTGTAATGTTGTGTTAACTTTATGTAAGACTCATTTAAACCTGACATTTTTTAATAAGTTGGCTGTTATAGTTAAATTTACTCCATGTTGTTTGAAGGACACAAATCTGTTCAGAAGATATCTTAATGAGCTCAGCACAGAAGCATGTTATAAATTAAAGCAGCACGTTTATTAGGATCCAAAAACAACAGATTAAAAACTTGATCAACAAACAATGATCTATAAAAAATCTAAATAAAGAATTAACTTTGGGTAGCCTTAGTCTGATATAATTCAATAACTAGGCCTGGGTCCAAGGGGAGGGAGGGTGCTCCAGGCCACAAGCTGGTCTCGGGCAGGGGCAGGGAATCTAACCTCTCACACAAGGTCTTTGCACAATAATGGTTTTTATTTGCAGATTGCATAAAGCAATATTTTGCATTTTCTCTTTATTAAGCCGGGACACGCACACTGATAAACAAGATCTCTTCTGCAAAAAAGTCCTGAAGGCAGCTGGTAAATGTCACACAACATTAAGCTGAAGAAATCGTTGTTGAAGACGCTGCTCAACAAAATGCTCAGAAAACTACAACAACAGTCACCATTTGATCTCATAAAAAAATCAAGATAACCAATAAACTTGGGGAGTCAAATTATTTCCTGTGATTGGATCAACATTTTTACCTCCAAAAATCTTCAAGAGGGGGCGTATAAGACTTGGTCGGGTAATTTCCTGTGAGTGAAAAGAGTAAAAAGAGTTCCCTCACCTCGCTGTGCGTCTCGGCCATCTCTTTAACAAACTGAGTCTGCAGAGTTTCAGGCAGCAGAGAGAATAACGTGTTGGGCAGATCCTCTTTGTCCTTCTTGTATTTTGCCTTAAAACAAAACAAAATGATGTTGAAAAGATTTTCACCTCCTTAATTTGCTCTTTTTCCATCACTGAGTTATGGTGTGAAATCACTGTTAGTGGATACGAGCTGCCTCTGTTGTGCACGTCTTTAGATTCTGTTAAAACCACCAAGATGACACCTGGGAGCTAGTTCAGGCAGACAACTCCAGCTGCACAGATTTTACACTGGCATACATCATTCTCACAATCTCAAATCACAAACTCCCAACTGAGCGGTCTATCTAAGCTGTGAGATTTCTCTCTCTCTCTGCTCTGTCACTGCCTTGCCGTCTTGTACCAGCGCTGCACTTAAATCCCCCCCCACCACCCCAGCATCCACCTGCAGGCTCCGACTGGAGGTTTAAAATATTATGTCATCACTCCTCAATTCCTGCATTTAAAATAAATCTACAAGGAGTGATGAGGTCGGAGCCTAGACGCCAAATACAAACTACTTTCAGCTGCAGTAAATATTTCAAACAGGCAAACGTGAGTCGTCTGACTGAAATACAGTCATTGTCATTGTTTGTGTTCCGTTAACTCTCTCTCTCTCTCTCTCTCTCTCTCTCTCTCTCTCTCTCTCTCTCTCTCTCTCCATTTTGTCATTTGTGTCACTATTTCCTTCTTGCAATTTCACCAATGATGAAAGAAGAACAAAAAGAAATGTCAATGAAAACAAGATGTTAAAAACTCTGTAAGATCCTGATTGAGCAAACATCCACAGACCATACCTATGAGGCGTTCAGGGTCCTCACCTCGCTCTGTATTTCTGACATCTGCTTGGCGAATAGCGTCTCCGCGGTCTCAGGGAGGAGCGAGTACAAGTTGGTACTGATCCCCTTCTTCCCGTCTTCTTTATATTTCACCTGACGGAGAGCGCACAGAGCTCGCTTTACCAAAAGTACAAAACAAACACATCAAGGTGATACGTTTTTACTCTGCACGTGTTTCCCACCTCGCTGTAAATGTCTCTCCGCTCTTTGGCCAGCTGTGTCTCTGTGGTTTCAGGAAGCTGGTGATACAGAGAGCCGCTCGCCTCCTTACAAACGTCCCGTTTATATTTCACCTTCAGAAAGATTCAAGAATAAAGGAATAACCAGCTACATCAAGCTCTTCTAATGGTTCAAATTTCAGCTTATTTTAGAAGACAACTTTGACTGTAGCATACAGGAAAAATGTTCAGTTATTTCTGGAAAACCAGTCAACAGATCAGGGTTTTTACTTCTTTAGGAGGTTGGTGGTTTGCCACAGCTAAACTGAGCTGGACAGTTATCCTGCCCTGAGCAGGCTTGCTCTGATGGCTCAGTTACCATAGTTACTGAACCGAGACCCATATAAGCCTCGGTAATGGAACTCTCGTTGAAATTATCAAGAGTTATTGAAGACTCTAAAAAGTTCTAAATAAACTATGTATTTTTTTAACAAACTGCCCTTGTGTTTAATTTTGTTATGTCATTATAATTTTATTTTATACAAGAACTCACTGGACACAACAACCCTTTCATGTTAATTGTTGACGACTGAACAAACATCTAGTTACAGCAGCATCGATCTACACAAGACTCCCTCCATCACTTCTATCACAGCTGACTACAGGCCTGAACCTGAACACATCATACTGCACATGTACTCACCTGGCTCTGCAGCTGTGAAACTTCTTTAGCATGCAGAGTGTCCAGAGTCTCGGGCAGCTTTGAGTAAAGGCAGCTGGACGCCTCCCTTTTCCCCGCTTCTTTATATTTAGTCTGAAAAGAAGACAAAATGAGTAATTATTTTCCATTAGAAGTCAACACTTCTATGCTGGTAGCATAGTGGTTAGTGCGCACGGCACATTTACAGAGGCTGTGGTCCTCCTAACGGGCGTCTCGGGTTCAAATCCGACCTGTGGCATCTCTCTCTCTCTCTCTCTCTCTCTCTCTCTCTCCCCGATTTCTGACTCAACCAACTTCCCTACCTCTAAATAAAGGCATAAAAAGCCCCAAAACAAAACTTAAAAGAAGAAAAAGTCAACACTGTCTCTGAAACTTCAAATCATCAACCAAAGTCAACTGACCCATAAAAAGAAAAGCAATCTAACCTCTTGTACTATTTTCTTCTAAGAGTGCTCCAATTTGTTTTTTGGCAGAATCTCTATCCTCCTTATCAACAAGTTTAAATAAGTCTAGGAGCTCCTCAAAACATGTCTGTGAAGCTTCTTGTTAAAAATCCACTCATGACTATAAATGCCTCTATTCCTGAACAGAAAAGGCTGTTTCTGTGTCTGTAGCTTTAAATGCAAATGACTTTGGTCTGACCACGCCCCTCTGGAAGGGCTTCGGTGGCTCCGGCTCTTGACAGTAACTCCTATGAGGTTAAATGACAGTTTTTTTTCCAGTGTAGTATGGTCACTTTATTCATATTTAATATTCATTAAGCCTCCAGAGTATTTCTCATCAGGGCTCAGGTTCAAATATTAGAACCTCCTTTAAATGAATAAATATGTCGCCGTACCTGACTTTGTATTTCAGAGACAGCCTTGGCAAACTGGATGTCGTTGGTTTCTTGGAGCTGAGAGTAAACACTGACAGTCTGGCTCTTCTTCCCGCTCTCCTTATACTTGTTCTAAAGACAAAAAGATCAAATCAGACAAATAAGCGGGTGTGTGATCTTTAAGTACTGTGGTGATGTGTCTGCAGTGGGTAACTGTCTTCTTTCAAATGTGAATGTGCGACACGTTGTGGTTAAAGGCTCCGGGTTCACTTCTGTTGCAGAGATATCCACAAAAATGGAGCGCAAGTCAAGAGAACTTTCCTGTCTAGTTTTGTTTTCAATATTTTTCCTCTTTTTCTTTGAGAAAACTGCAAATTGAGGACATTTCTCAGCTTTATACTGATGGTGGTGATGTAACACTCTTTGAGGTCTTTGAGCTTTTTCTCTCTGTTAACAAACAGGCTCGCTGGACTTTGGGTTAAAGCAGAACAGAGAATCCATCTATCAGACTTTTATCCTCAGAGAGTTTTTTACTTAAGAGCCTCTTCTAAAAGAAGAACACAGAGAACAGACAGCATACATAGGCTGAAAACTCTCCACTCTGGTTACTGCTTACGTTTCATTTTACAGCTTCATTTAAACTTCACATACCGGTGAACTGAATGGAGCCTCTGTTTGGACTAAACTCTAGTGCTGCTTAAAATATCCTTTTTCCTGAAATATAGTAACCTAATAATAAAGGGAATGATCTTTGATTGAAATTCAGTTTTTAATTTGAGAGAGCAGCTTTCTGAGTATCTTTGCACGGTCAAATCAGTGCAATCGAAGAACAGGATTTATTATTGTGTTATTGTGAGAAAATCACAACAAATTCAGTTTATTTTTCAGGTATTTACTGCTGAAGTTCTCCAGAGTACAAATAAAGATTGAACCCAGAGATGACAGCGTTTATTTTACAGACATATCTGGAGGGGTGATTTTTATTTCACTTTTGATCTGAACACATTGAAGCTTCTGAAGTTGCTAATTGGACTCTCTGGCTCTTAACCATGAACAACAAAATGTTTGAGACACAAATATCAGCTGAGTTTTTCTCATATTAGTGGTACAAGTTGTGTTGTTTCTGATGATTTTCCTTCAAATAGAGTTTTATCTACTGCGTGTGTGTGTGTGTGTGTGTGTGTGTGTGTGTGTGTGTGTGTGTGTTCTGTACCTCACTCTGTAACTCGGTCATCTCCCGGGCAAACTGAGTCTCTGATGTTTCAGGGAGCTGAGAGTACAGAGACGACGTCATCTCCTTTCTTCCTTCATCTTTGTACTTTTTCTGTTCAAACACAAAAAATGAGAACGAATGCAGAAAATAAATTACCTGATTGATTAAATCGTTTTAACTTTTCATGTGGATGTTTTTCACAAGCACCTTACGTTTTAAAGGGCCAGTTTCAACAAATTTCATAAATGACTTTTTCTTCCACTTAGTAGTCTAATTCAAGGCATGTCGCAACCAACTATTTGTCCGACGAATACTCAAGTGTGTGGTGTCAATGTGATTATTTTAATTCCAGATCCTGATGCCTTCGACGGACTACACACAACAGCCAATGAGAGCGAGCAGACCGGGAAGGCGTCACCAAGCAGATGCTGTATACTTTTACAGCTCATGAACATGTCAACAAACATGAACAATACTGTGCCATGAGCCAAGTGGAATATTGACAAAGACGACCAGCTTGTGGAATTATGGCAACAACAACAACAACATGAGTTTTCTACAGACAGCAGGTGTATGATCTTGTGGTCTGGCTGAATCGTCGAGTGAATGAGGTCAGGGGATTATAAAGTTCATAATCGGTTGAAACTGTCCTTATTTCTGTGGTTTCCCATGTTTTGAAAATCATTGTGTGCAGCCAGCCTAAGCAAGAAAATGAATGGAAATTGTGTGAACTCTTTAAAGTCATCAAAATGTGAGATACAGTTTTGTTAGCTTGTTTTCGAAGGCAGTGAGAAAACATTCAACATTTTGAATTTGAGAAAACAGATAGAAAGAGAAAGATAAAGACTCACTTCACTCTGGAGATCAGTTGCTTCTTTGGCGTGTTTGGTCTCCAGAGTTTCAGGAAGTGTGGAGTAAAGTGACGACGCCGTCTGCTGCTTCCCTGCCTGCTTGTACTTCACCTGATACACACACACACACACACACACACACACACACACACACACACACACACACACACACACACACACACACACACACACACACACACACACACACACACACACACACACACACACACACACACACACACACACACACAAATATAAACACAATAAACGACCACTCCCACTACTGACACACCTCTGTTCACACTAAAGTATCAAACATCACAGTTCTTTTTGAAACAGATGTTTAAACTTCAAAAGTAAGTAAGTAAAGTAAGTTTTCTCTGACTTCCTTTATCAGCCTTCATCCTATTGGTCATTGATATAGCAACCATTTATGACATCATCAGATCTATCAGCTAATAACCAATAGAGCGTCATATTCCAGTCCCACTTAAACGTGGACCATATAAGTGCCATAAAGAGACTTCCCTTTTAAAGGAATAGAAATGAAATGATGTGTTCTAGCATCAAGCTAACACCGAACTTCCCTTTGAAAAATTCTTTATGGAGCTGGCAGAAAAATTCTAGATACGTCGGAAATCAAAATGTGTCTGTTTGCGTTAAAAAATGCAGCTCAGACCAAACATTCCAGGAGTTATTCTGGAGTGCTGTGCATGTGTGGAAGCAGCATTCGAGAAAGAGTAAAGAGGCCCAGACTTCTTATCTCTGCGCTGTCTCTGCACTTAAACATCCGACACACTGAGTGATAACTTCACCAACATGTACAGAAATAAACTCTGACTGCTGGTTTTGAAGAGTCTCCAGCTCTTTGCTTTCTCTGTTAAGTTTCCGTTTTAATAACATTTGACATGTACCTTTAACTAATTCACCAACTGAATTAAATCTGAATGTGTCAACTTGAAACACGTCATATTTAATGCAACCAACACACGACACATGCATGCTAGCGTTAAAAAACAGATCCTATAAAATTAGATTAATGGCGATGAATCACTTCCTTTTTTAATCAACTTTTCTTTTTGCACTGTCTTAGGCTGAGAGTAGTTTACTTGCTATATTAATAGTACGGACTTCTGGTAGAGTGAAGGTTATGTCACAGACAAAGGAACTCGAGGAGCAGATCAAAAACAGTTGAACAGATCTAAAAGGAACGTTAAGAGTGAATGACATCAAATGTTTGATGGCATAAGGTGGATATAACTTTTGACTCGTCAGCTGAGCTGTCTTGAGTGAAATGAGACGTTCAAAGATGCAGCAGTGATGTTCTTTTCCATCACTGTGACTCCAGGGAGACACTGCAATGCCTATGCACGGTGCCTAGCTACATAATATGTTCTTAAGAGCACCACAGAGGATACAGATATTCTAAAAACTGATCTTTCAAAAATGACTGAGTGTGACTTCACTCGTCCTCTAATGATTTTTAGATTGGATTTTGTTTTGAATTTTTTCCTTTATTTAGCCAGGAC